CAAGGCTACAAGATCATTTGAATAAAAGGCATTCAGATAAAAAGGTACAGGTGACGAAACAAGAAATTTTGGGGCAGGTGACGAATCACGAATTGACGAAACAAGAACAAATCACTGGAAATGATTTAATTTTACCGGCAATAAAAGAAGTAATAACTACTGTGCTCAATAAACCAGCGGCATATATTGTCCGAAAAATTCCTTTGAGCAATAGTGCCGTGCAAAGACGAATTGAAGAGATGGCTGAAAACATTGAAGAGTCATTGTGCAATCATCTGAAGACTTCTAAATTGTCAATTCAGTTAGATGAGTCTACTTTACCAACCAATGAAGCATTGTTGTTGTCATAAGTGAGGTTTATTAAAAAGAGAAAATATATCAAGAACTACTATTTGCCAGAAATTTAGAGACGGATACAAAAGGAGAAACCATATATAATACACTGGAAAAAATTTGTGATGAGAAAGAAATTCCACTAAAGAATATTATATCAGCTGCTACGGATGGCGCTCCGGCTATGACAGGGCGTCACAAAGGCTTCTTAGCGAACTTGAAAAATAAAATTCCAGATGTGCTCGCTGTACATTGCGTCATTCATAGGCAACATTTGGTTGCGAAAAATTTCTCTCAACTTTCTCTCAATCACTGCAATACCGGGTGTCAACGAATCTATTAGACAAGTCATAACTTCTAGACTATTAGGTGTATCAAAACGAGATTTGGTACAGATAAATGGTATGTGGAGAGGAGAGTTTTCACATATTTTTCACTTTCCGGTCACTTCAATCAAAGCAGTCAATAAAATCCGAAACAGCTCTTAGAATGACAGATTATTTAATCAGCTTTGTGTTGCTAATGATGAAGATTTTAACCGATTGCTATTTCATACAGAAGTGCGTTGGTTATTAAGAAGTAACTGTCTGACTCGATTTTACAATCTATTTGACTCTGTACTAGAGGTCTTGGAAAACAAAGAATTGCACGACAACCTCATCACTTCAAAGAATGATATTGCGTACTTGACAGACCTGTATAAATTATTAAATGATGTCAATCTCCAACTTCAAGGTGACGACTTGAATTTGATTAAAACAAAAAAAGGCATTGCTGCTTTTGTAGCCAAATTGCTCTTATAGAAGAATAATAGCGGCAGAAGTCATTACCACAGTCATTTCGCAAAACGATTCCAGGACATTTTAAAATTGGAAATGCCGGACTGGGTGTTGGATCCTTTTTCAAATGTCAACACAGCACAGCAGGATCACCCCAGCTGGAAGAAGAACTCAGAGAACTGATAACGAACGAGGAAATAAAAATTAAATTAAAAAATGTTGGCTACAAAAGCCAATTCTGCAATTGTACCCTGGATTGTGGTCCATCGTTCAACGATTTTTGATAGCATTCCCATCATCGTATTTGTGTGAAGGTGGATTTGGTGCTGTGGCAACTTTGCTAACTTAAAAGAGAAATCAGTTACAGATTACCGAATGCGGTGACTTACAGCTGTTTTTGAGTAAATTCAAGACTGATATTAACAAACTTGTTAAAAATCATCAAATTCATCCTTCACATTAGAATAGTTTCAGAATTCAAATTGAAATGTTTGTTTTAATAACATGAATAAAAGTCTTCCTGGTTTGGCTCTCAAGCTACTGTTCTACTGTTTGAAAGTTGAAATCTGCTGATGACTCAGTTCACTTTCAATAATGATCATTAAATGATTGTAAATAGTGGAAATTATTACGTATGTAAAATATAAATTGATGGATGTAGCCGTTAATACGTGGTAGGAAATCATAATGAAAAGAGTAATGGAAATTTCTATGTTTTTACCACTTTTATTTGTAACTAACGTTATTGCAGTTTTATCATATACGGACATTTTCAAACTTATACAATAAAATAACAATGATTCATTACATTCGCCATTATATACCACCCCTGTAGGTACTAATAGAAATAGAGGTACTTGACTTTATTGAGTACCTGAATTCACAGTTCACAATGCGGATGTGCCAATTTAAAAACCGGAGAGTAAATTAAATCGATTTGATCATTCAACAGGTTGCACCCGCAATGTTTATGGTTGTGAATTTCCAAGGATTCTAAATAATTGAGTTTGCAACCCTTCCTTGCATAGTGCAGAATTGACTGGCGCATAAATCGGGCTGAATTTGACCGATGACATGGGTTATGTTGGCTTTGAGGACCATTGTGGTTTATGGCTTATTCGCATACAACTGCGACCGAAGAAATCCCCACGAGAAAGAAACGGGTCAAATCCCACTATCTCAGATGCCAGTTTACTTCACTCCACGTGAGATGACCATGCCCTCAAATCGCTCGTCTAGAATATCCAATGTGTCATGAGATGTGAGGCACGTAGCGCCATCCTGTTGAAACCACATGTCGTTGGTGTCCAGATTATGCAATTCAGGCCAATAGAAGTTGGTAATCATCGACCTATAGTTGACAGTGATGGCCTGGCCAACGTCGTTCTCAAAGAAATATGAATTGATGTCGCCGCCAGCCCAATATCCACACCAAACAATGACTTCTTCGGGATGCATTGCACGCTCTTGGATCTCATGTGGATTGGTATCGTCCCAAATTCGACAATGTTCTTTGTTCTCATACATATTCATCCAGAAATGGGTTTCATCGCTGAAGATAATTTTTCGATGAAAATTAGGGTCAGTTGACAAGTGCTTCAGAGTCCATTCAGCGAACACACGTCGTTGTCTATGGTCGTTTCCTTCAGTACCTATGAGTCAGTTGAATTTTGTACGGGTGCAGGCCCAAGTTACGACGCAACATTCGCCAAGTTGTAGTCTGCGAAAGGCCTAGTTTTTGTGAGCGACGCAAAATCGACTGCCTCGGATTTTCCTGTATACTCTCACAGCCAGCGGCGACGTTTTCGGTATATCTTGCGTTTCGTCGATATAGGGGTGTTGATCAAACGTTTACTGAACCAGTAGTACATTGGTACATTGCCCGAACATAACAGCCATTTTGATAAACAATTTTATTATTTGCACGTGTTGTTCAATGCTATATCCGTCCATGGTGATTTGGCAAAACAGACTGAATAAATGACAACTAATTTGACGGATGTAGCTTCAACAAGATGGCCGTTATCAATTGTCAAAGTTCGAAAGTTCCTGTTGGAGGACCTTATATAAAAAGGTGCAATAAAAACCTGAAATATCATATAAAACGTAACGAAAAGTTGAATACATATCAATTGCAATACGTGTATATTTCATGTAGTTGTTCAAAAAGTCCACTGCTGCATTCGCATTATCCAACAAATGTTAATACTGGACACTGTTGTGTGATTTCTTCTTCAGCTGCAATGGATTGACTGGCAGCCTAGTGGACGTCAGTTTTTAATCAATACACGCTCGATACACTGAGTTTGTAAATCTCTCTGAGGTCCTTCTGTATCTACTTGTTTACAAAAACTGTCGTTCAACTATTTTTTACATGTCAAAAAATACGATGTGATTCAAACTCAAAATAAAACTCAATAAGCTTTAAGGTTTTTAATTTCCCTGGGATGCTCTGGGTTGGGACTTCTTTGTCCATTATCTGTTGGGTCCGGAGGTGGAGAGTCAGGCTTACGCCTAACTTTTCTTCTTTTGCGTTCTCTTGAAGTTTGTTCCTCTTTCTTGCTTACAGAGATATCCTTCCTAGGAAGGAGTCAGTTTGATTTTTGCTATAATTATTGTTTCACTGTTGTTTCCCTTACCAAGAAGATAGTATCTCTTCTTGGTAATTGTTCAGCTTTCATCTGCCTTGCTATTCGAGCTAGTATGTTTAAGTAGATTATTTGTGTTAGGTCTAGGTCTCATCCTGTCGATGTTCAACTCTCCATCTGAAGTTGGGGTCTTGGGAGGTGCACTATGTATAAGTGCTCCAACTTTTTCTTCATGCCTTGGGGAAAGTAATCCAATCTACAAGGAACCCTGTGACCGTTTTGTCCCCCGCACTGGGCTGTACTCGATCCCCACTATGTGGCTTCCCCATGCTCCCAGAACGTTAGACGTTCCTATTCCCCAGGCCGTTCTTTGATTGTCCAGACTCTCCTACAAAAAAGGAGGGAAATAATTTTTCCTCTTCCATATTGATGGGACTTTTCTCAATGTCATAGTAATCATTGTAAGAAAATTGGAAATTGATAATTTCCTCATTTGTTCCACTTTAAATGGTCCCGGTGGGATTTGAGGTCTCTCCAATTTCCACAGTGCCTACTAACGCAGTGCGTCTGAAAGATCCGCTTTTGTCAGAACCGGCAAACGGTCCATTGGTTCGCCTATCTGTAGCGACATCTTTCTGCCATTTGATGCTATCTAAATCGATGTTCTCTTTATTGCGATTCCTAGTATTTCCGGAGTTCGACCCTGGACTTACTTCCTTCATATAATATTTACTCTCTTTTGGGTTTCCTATACTTACCTATAGTTTCCTATACTTTCAATAAAAGGGGTTTTAAACATCACAAGGAGTGATTTATGACTTTTCTGACAGTTCTTAAATGTTTTTTGGAAAGTGTAGTGAAAAAGAAATTTTTACGACAATCACACGGAAAGACACGAATACCTTCTACGGCTGCCCGCAGCGTACCACCATGATGTGTAAATCTGTCGAATGATTGTAACCAAAATGTAATTTTTGATTCTGTCAGTTCTTCCCCCTATATTCTTTTTCACGTCTTACAATATCTCGAAATTTAATTAATACTTAAGTTTATTTCTTATTCCACATCCTTATTGTTACTTGCGGTATTTGATGAGACTCTAGACAATGTGCACCAAAAAACAGAAGTGAAGGAAAATGTCAGGTCTAAAAATACAAAAATTACACAATTAACATATCAAGTTTAAAACTTTATTTTTGTTTCATTTAGTTATTTTATTCACTTCGTTTTTATTTTTATTGAGTTATTTTGAAAATAATTACTCGAGTATGAATTTAATGAAAACTTCATATCTTTTCAGAAAATTTGACAATCATCGAAGACGATTTCTACCAAGAAACTGCACACATTCCCAAAGAACACCTAATTCAAAAACGAGAGATACCGCTCAACCCATGGTCACAAGATATTGAAGGAACGTGCGATGTAGTAGAAGAAAAATATTGGAAAAAACCCGAGTATACTCGGAAAACTCGAAATGCTGAATGGACTTCCAAATTCAGGATGAGTAACGAATCCTTCGTGAAGGTCCTGGTGGTGGCAGATGAAAGTATGGTCAAGTATCATCTAAATGACGATGAATTGACGCATTACATTCTGATTTTGATGTCTCATGTATGTACTCTAGTTTTTTAATACGTGAAAGTGTAATGGCTGATTTCCACACCAAACTTTTTTTTTTCACTTTAATAATACTTAAGGATAAAAAATTGATAAAATGTGTCATTCATCAATAGTGGTTGAAGAAAAAATTGCGCATGCGCCGTAGACGTGAACGTAAGGGGTTTTTATTTGAAGATTTTCTCAGTTTTGCCTTGGAATGAATTATTTAAAAAAAATTAAATGTCGAACGTTGGGAGTCGAAAGAGGAAATATAAAAAATATATTTTCGGCGTATCTTTTCAATTCACAATTCATGTCAGATTGTCAATATCAACAGCGTTATATTACGAATAACATTGACCACACTCCCGATGAATGCATGAGAATATGAGCATCCTTTTACTTTGAAGATTCGCTAAATAAAAGAGTATTCAGCCATATAACTATTATTAAAGTGAAAGAAGAAGTGAAAGTGGTGTATGAATCAGTCATACGTCATAAACTTGAACTTATTGAAAAAAATGTACTTGTCAATTTATATATTGTCATCTTCTGGTGATGTCGAGTTTAGAAACAAACTGATTCACTCGAACTCTGTTCCTCAATTTATACGTATGGATGCCTTCACCTGGGTTGCTTCCATTACCTGTCCCGATTACCTGTATTGATCGGATTACCATGTTATCCTGCATTCCTTTGTCATTATACCTGAATTATATGCTTAGTTTTGCTTTTGGGGTTGTGCGCTCTGTTTTATTTTTCGGAGTGATACGATGGATCTCCATCTTGCTCACAATCTTTGCGCGTCATCCCTCTTGGTCATAATTCTCGGTCGGTTTTCAATATCGATAGCCCGTCTGACTGTTCGAGAGTAGAAGTTTTCATTGTTTGTTAGTGTTTTTGTGTTCTCGAAAATAATGTTGTTTCCTGTCGCCAAAACGTGTTGAAAGAGAGAAGACGTGGCTTTTCCCTTCACTTATAATTTGTGTTCATCATTGCGTATGTTGATTCGTCTGTTGGTCTGACCTATGTAAGTCTTGTCACAGTATTAACATGGTACGTCGTTAACTCCTTGGGACTCCAGTGGTATATGATCCTTTTTTTTGAGAACAAAACACAAGCACTACAGAAAAATCCTTAAGGCGCTCTAAGAGCGATGCCTGTGAAATTGAATCCATTTGGAAAAACATTTTCAGAAACTTTATTTCACACAAACGCAGTTCTCCAAATGAAAGAGTTCTTGAACAGTAAAGTTCGAGGTGTACTGCATGGACCTTATTCTACGTTCTGGTGCGAATTATGTTGCTATGTTGTGTTTGTAGAGAATTCTGTTGATGTTGTCTGTGGTTTCTTCAATATATGATAGTATGGTTGTTATGACTGGTGTGTAAAAGTTAATACTTCAATCGAAAAACTTGAAAAAAGTTCAATTCTCCCCAAAATGCGAAATTATTAAAACAAAATTTTCAGCCATATTACACATCATCTGATTTTTTTAACCCGTTAATTATATTTCCAGAGTAAATTAAATTATTTCTCTTTGTTGTTGGACAGGTGTCATTTTTATTCAAAGATGAAACTATAGGAAATGCAATTTCAGTATCTGTGGTCCAAATCATGGTACTGAGAAATGTTAATTTTTCCAATACGTACTCCTCAGGTAATAAAAAACCTATTTTACTATTCAGCTTTCACAGAAATCATTTGGTTTTAGGTATGTTACTGAAGTTTTGCAATTGGACGAAACAAAACATTCGAGATAAATCCCATAATGTTGCTGTTTTATTGACAAGGTACAGTATTAGTATTTTTTTTTGCAAAATGTAGATCTCGTTTCTGACTGATATATGGAGTATCAATGAAAGTTATTCTTATTTTTACGACTTTATTTTTCAATTGTGAATATAATAATTACTGAACATATAATTTACAGTGCGGACGTAAAAAGTTTCTCCTTCCCCTCCCAACTCTTTGAACGGGACAAAGTACCAAGGTCAGACAACGTTTGTGATACTTTATTTGATAGGTCTTTGAATTTTCTGTCCAATACTGTTTCACTTTAAGAAATCGAATTAGCGTTCCCAAGTATCTAGCCGTTTTATATTGGTTGTAGATCTGTAAACGATAAGTATCATAATTTGAAGAAAAATATATTCAAATCTCAATCCAGTTTATTCGAATAATATCATTCATTCGCTTTCTGATATAATATGAAGTTTACAAAGGACCCCGCACAAATCTTATGAAAAACCGGTTTCAGTGAAAATTGCTGAAATTTCAATATGATGTAGCCCATGCCATCCTGAACAAAAGTTACCATTGCGCCAACTCTCTGAATGAAGGCGTTTGGATTCTACAGAGGGTCAAAGTTTGATATTTTGACAATTTTTCAAAAAATCCGGAATTTCATTTCATCCTAATTTCATAATGGAATAGACCACAATATGTGCATATAAAAAAGTTCCAATGGCAAAAGTTTATAAAATCAAAACTGGCGGGTATACAGTGTGTCTTACTTCTCATGGAAACACCCCCGTATGTTCCGTAATATTCGAGATAGAACGATGAAACTCTCATGGAACTCTTCTCATGGAAACACCCCCGTATCTTCCGTAATATTCGAGGTAGAACAATGAAACTCTCAGGACTGATGGAAATGCTAATGCACCTACCACCTAAATAGGGTTGGCCAAAGTGATATACATATAGTTGGATAGTTGGTTCCAATGCAAAATATGATCGCCCTTTCATGTACTGTAATTAACATCAATTGAACATGGATCTGCAGAAAAACGAATATTTTCCCTCTATACAGTCTGTCTCACTTCTCATGGAAACACCCCCGTATCTTCCGTAATATTCGAGGTAGAACGATGAAACTCTCTAGACTGATAGAAATGCTCAAAATGCACCTACCACCTGAATGGGGTTGGCCAAAGTGATATACACTGTCCGCCACTCGCGATGGAACACCCCATTTTTACGGTAAAACATATTAGGGGGCAAAATAGGCTCAAAATTCCTTCAGATTCGTGATCAGGACTACCAACTCACTACGAATACATGGCCACTGGGCGCCATCTGGGAAAAAAATTAAATAGAAAGGGGGGTCTTGTGAAGCTCCTGACAAATGCTTCACATCCCTAGAATATAATGTCAATATCATCAACATCTTCAAATACTACAAAATGGCGGAACTTTCAATAATATCCTGAATACATTGACATTTAACTACATAATGTGAGGTAATGAGTTTGAGGTCAGATCAGAAGATGCTCGAAATGGTTGCCTTGAACTTCTTGGCATATGAACAGCCTATCCGATATTTCACTCCGAACATTTTCGAACACAGTAACGTCAATATCTCTACAAATATTTATTATTCTCTGCCGTATATCAAATATTGAGGCATGTTCAGTTTCGTACACCTTTTGCTTCAAATAGTCCCATGAAAAAGTCCAAAGGTGTGAAATCTGGCGAGCGGGCTGGCCATTCTGTAGGACCTCGACGGCCAATCCAACGACCAGGAAAAGTAGTATCCAAGTAGTTTCTTACTTGTCTGGAGTAATGTGGTGGTGCTTCATCTTGTTGGAATACAACAAATTATATATGTTTAATATATAATAGTTCCCCTGTTAAATTTTGATCAATAAATAATAGAGGTCCTACAATATGGTTTTTCAATATTCCTGCACAAACGTTATTTTTTTCTGGATATTGGGTATGTGTTTCCCGGAAAACGTGAGGTTTGGTGTCACTCCAATAACGGCAATTTTGTCTGTGTCCGTTTAAAAAAATGTACATTCGTCACTAAAACAAGTATTGTGAAGATAGGTAGGATGCCTGGCAATGGTTTCTGTCATGATTTCGCAGAATTATATTCTTTGATCAGGGTCATCTTCAGGTTTTTGGTGTACCATTTTAATTTTGTATAAATGATACCTATTCCTCTTCAAAAGTCTCCACACAGTAGAAATAGACACCTCACAAACATTCGCGACGGAATAGGTAGACTGTTCAGGATTTACTACCATCTTACCAATTATTTGCACTTGCTGTTCTTCCGAAATGGACGGATGACCTGGGGGTTTTTTGTTATGCACACTACCGGTAGTTGTGAATTTGGATACAAGTTTCCTCAAATATTTTCTACAGATAGGACGACTCGGAATCCTTTCGGTCTCTTGAAAGTTACGCGTCGTACCGTAAATAAAAATCGCTTCAATTTTTTCTTTCAATGGACGAGATTTGACCATTTTAGAGATTGTTGACGTGGTACCTTTCTACTAGTAAAACCGAAAACTAAATGAGGATACTCTAACTGAACAATGATGTTCATTGTCGTACTGACATTTTTTGACGTTTTTATAACCAAAAAATAACTCAACAAACCTTATCAGGTTGTTGGAATTGCCATATGGCAGATAAAAAGGAATATTTCTAAAAATATCGAAATTAATGTGTTTGTCTTCAGGAAATTATTGAATGTTCCGCCATTTTGTAGTAGGTGAAGATATTGACTTCATACTCTAGGGTTGGTGAAGTATTCGTCAGGAGCTTCAAAATGATGTGTCACAAGACCCCCATTTCCATTTAATTTTTTTCCCAGATGGCGCCCAGTCACCATTTTCAAAGATTCATCTGTCAATTTCACTTCAAAATAAAGTATTCATGCATTAAATTCATTATCCCAAATTTAAATGTTTTGAGTTGACCCGTTCAAAAAATAAAAGGAGGGGGCATTGAAGAAATGCACTGGATATACAAATGTGTCAATGGGGGTGGGCTCGCCATCACGTTTGTCGCTTGCTGTAGGTACGGGAACCGATGGTTAATCATTCTCAGAGATAAACATCAATCCGAAAAATAGTGTCAAACATATACTACAGAGTGTGATCTCTTCGGACGGGCCATCTCGTATAATTGAGGATGGAACTTCTTCACAGATAAGTCAATTACCCTCTAGTCAATCTCCACTTATAATATGAAACAAAGTAGCGATAGTGAAATTTCAATTGTTTGAATAATCTGACAAAACCAAATCTGTATTTTGTTAGTATTCAATAATATACATTTGAATTTGGGTGTATGTCAAAGTGAATTTCAACGTTTTGATCTTTTCCAGGTTGAAATTTTAAAAATCAGAATATGTTTTGACTCCCAACTTCTCCATGTTGTTTCAGGGATACTATCTGCCGAAATGAGTCAGTCCCACCGCAGCGGTGTACGACTTTAGGTGTAGCTGAAGTCGGTTCGATGTGCCAATCGGGATGTGCCATTGTTAGAGATAAAGGACTTGCTTCTTCTTATACGATAGCCCACGAAATAGGCCACATTTTGAGGTAGCGGATTTTTTTCTAGGTTTGCTAAAAAATTAAAGCTTTTCTCTTATTTACTTGTGATGCACTGTTTGGAACCTTTCATGTAGTAATGAATATTACTGGAGTTTTTTCCCAACACCAAAGTGATCATCTTCTTGGTGATCGAAACACGTGTCGAGGTGTTAAAATAACGGTTTGGTGTTGGCAAAAAACTCCAATAATATTCTTTTCTCTTATTACTTCTATTTCCTCGAATAATAAAAAAGAAATGTGAATCCTACTGTTTTGGCAACAAATTTCTGCATTTATAAACACTTTTCTTCCTTTTTCGGTACCTACTTTGATTACAAATAACCTTTATTATTTTCAGCATGCCCCACGATGAAGATGGAAAATGCCAGCAGCTGAACAAAGACATAAGTATTAGTAATATTATGAGTAAGGTGATTGAAAAAGACACAAAACCTTTTACATGGTCACCATGTTCCAGATATTTTATTACAGAATTTTTGGAGTAAGTATATATTGAAAAACAAATATACTTACATTTTCATTCGAAGTCTGACATCGCTATAGATTCTCTTCCGCCATATTGACAAATATATATTCTATTTTGTGTGAATTCCACTTCGAAACTAAAATATTTTTTATCAGGCATGCCTGATAGATGTAGACACACATCCACGAATACTAATTATTTGTAACCTTTTATAAGAATAGGAACTCTTTGGCAGCTAATTACTTTAGTAGTTCAATTTCCAAATATAAATTATTGGAAGCATTGTTTTAATTGATTCTTCATCAACTGAGTTCATCGACATTTATCTCAAATATTATATAACAGATCAAGCATAAATATATCAAAAAACTGATGGATGTAGCCGTTACTACGTGGTAGGAAATCGCCATGAAGAAAAAAGAATTGAAACTTTCTACGTTTTTTACCACTTTTATTCGTAACTTACGTTACTGCAGTTTCGTCCTATAAGGACGTATACATTAAAATAACAATGATTGATTACATTACATTGGCCCTCATATATAGAATATATGAGGGCCAATGTATATAATAGAAGTACTTAGCTTAATTGAGTACCTGAATTTTGTTTACTTGTGACAATGTGGATATAGTAATTTGAAAACCGGTGAGTAAACTAAATCGATTTGATCATTTAACAGGTTGCATCCGCAATGCAATGTTCATGCTTATAAATTTCCGAAGGATTCCAAATAATTGAGTTTGCAACCCTTCCTTGCATAGTGCAAAATTTTCGTATCGTTTAGATTCGGGAGCTTATGGTTGCATGCCAAGGAATGGTTGGAAAACGTCGAATCATTTTCACATAGTCTGAAGGATCTTTCATGTTCAGCATACCGTGTTGAGAAATTTCGACCACATTGTCCCACAAAAACACTATTACACTCCGGACACTTAAGCTTATAATCTTCAGATTTTTCCAACTAGTCCACTTTGTCTTTGGTATTGAAAGGAAATGAGACCTGACACATGGTCTGAATGCCACTTCCACATTGTTTTTCCTGAAGAAACCCTCAATTATCTCTGTTTGAGTTACCATTTCTTGATTTCTGATTGTTTGATCTGGGGGTATATTAATCTGTAAGTGAATCTACAGCTTTGTTTTCTGACTAACTTCTGGATTGTATCTGCGTTAAAACCATTATTATGGCGTATCTGTGTAATTATTTTAATTTCCCTGTGGAAAAAAGTATATACCTACGTGAAATTTCACGACCCGAAGATGTGGGAAAAAATGAACATCGTAAATATATAAAAAGTACAAATAACAGGATCAAGCATAGCGGAACATATTTTAAAATTAACTGGGATTACATAATAAAACAGAGAAAAACAAATATTGTCACCAAGGAACCTCACAAAAAATGAGGAGACTGAAAGAATCTGCATATATTATTTTAGTCGGTGACAAAACAAGTGTATTTCAACCAACTCTGCGAAAATGGATCTACCTGGTTACCATCTAAGGCAACACGTTGAAATGTATATAATCCTGAGCTGAATTTTTGGAAAACATCCTGAATGTGAATTCTTATACTCTCGAATATGACATCTGAACGTTTCATTCTTTTGACGTATATCAAAGAAAATATACTTGTTTTCTATTGAGACATTCTTCACAAGTGGATTTATTGGGCTTAAAACCCGAAAAGGATAATTTTACGAAACGTTAATCATCTAAAGAAGTCTAAGTATAAAATTTCATTTTTCCATTGTTCATTCAGTTTGTAGGCAAAATTTCTGAATACAAGTTACTTGATTGATTGTCTTCTTCAGTTGTTTATATCGAACAGTAACATTTGGGAGTAAACTTTTCACTTTGCCCTTTAGACGATTCTCTAATCATTTAGTTTGTTTATTTTTCAGATCGAGGAAGTTTATAAACCCAAAAAACACTAAAAAACATTATCTCCTTCACAAAAATTATGTCTGGAGTATTTCATCTGAACTGCCTGAAAAGTATCTGTTTCTGTTTAAAGTATATTTTTCCGTTAATTCCTTTCATTTACTCTAGAGGTTGTCTATATAAATATGAGAAGACTTTATATGCTCTCCTTTTTATTTTGATGTAATCGAAAAAACGCGGTTGTCCTTTCTGGCAAATATGTAACGGTAGATTTCGTATCATTTTGTATCGTTGCGGAACCTAAAATAAAAAAGGTCCATTCATTCACGTTTCGCGACGGACATTGACATAAAACAAAAGAGGAACTGCACCGGTCGCAGCCACCTGTTTGTACGACGACAAAGGCATTTTCATTGAAATCCCTAGAAGGAAGTTTAGTGCCGACCCAGATTTTTTCGCAATTTCTACAATAATTGCGGTCAAAACTGTCAATTAAATGCGATTATAAAAAATGATGCAGAATTGGACTAGCCTACAAGTTACGATAAACCCATTAAAAATACCAGTTTTTTTCTACGTGGTACCTTTGGGTTATATTTTTTAAATAGAAATATTTATCGTCGATTTCTTGTAATGTTATAAATTATGCAAGAAATAAACCGATATACCTAATAAATGATTGTGAAACGAATATAAATTTGGTTTATGTGAACAGTATTCGTTATAAAAATCAATTGACAATGATTAATTAATAATCAGTCCTATTGATGAGATTTGTAACATGATATAACGAATCTAATCTAAAGTACCCTTTCGTCACATCATTAACAAGGTGTTTCCTTACTACGGTTCGAAACTTCAGAGGGTGATTCGTTAGGTCGTTTTAAGAAAAAAACGTTTTCATAAACATATGTGGAGTTGCTTTGTTTCTGAGATACAGAGCGTTGAAGTTTAAAACAACGGTATTTATAAAATATCATTAGTATCCTTACACCGATTTGGTTGAAATTTGCTACAGTTATTTGAAGTAATAAGGCGCTTGTTTATCCCTAACTATATTGAAATTATTAGGTTCAGTGGAGTCTCAGTGGGCACCACAGACAACAAAATTGGGAAAAAAAGTACGCCACAGACTTGTAGTTTTATGTTTTTCAGAATATTCAGCTGAAAATAAAACTTTTTCATCGCTGATGTTTTCTTCATATCTTCTTCATATTCGTTTTGGAAAAAAAATGAAGCCATTTTGCATATCACGAATACCTAATTTAGAGACCAAGTGACAGTGATAGTGTTGTCATATAAGTGAAAGTCCGAGTTGTCAATTAGCAGTGATTCCATCATGAATAATTTTACTAACGCTGAAATGGCTGACATGCACTTTATTTGTGGATTAGCAGATTGAAATGCGGAAGAAGCAGGGAGAATTTACCAGGATATCAACACAGCAATTCCATGTGATGAAACATTTAGAACGTTATATGCAAGATTATGAGAAACTGGGAGTTTTAATAAAAATGCAGGTGGTGCAAGACCAGAAACTGTAACAATGCCTGAACTAGAAGAAGCTATACTTGATGGGATAAAAGATCCTTCAAATCCCAGGAAGATTGCACTGCAGCTGGAAGTCAGCCCAAAAACCGTAGGGACAGTTCTAAAAAGAAACCTCGTATATCCATATCACATGCAGCTCTACTGCCTCGGCATTTCCACCCAATATTATTGTTTTACAGGTGGTTGATTCAAACGATGGCACACAATAATGATTTTTACCAAATGTTTAATTTACGGACGAAGCAAGTTTGTCACGAAATGCTATTATAAACTTTCACAATAACCATTTATGTGCCGACGAAAATCACCACGTTATTAGAGAAAGTCATTTTCAGCAACAATTTTCGCTGAACATTTGGATAGGAATGATTGGATACTACCTAATTGATCCATTTTTTTCTACCAGCAAGATTAACAGGTGAATCCTCCAAATATTTGCGAGTATAAGAGTCAATATGTGGTTTAAACACGACGGGGCTCCAGCTCATTTCAGTATTCTTGCTCGTCGACATCTCGACATCACCTACTCTAATCGCTGGATTGGACATGCAGGACCTCAAAATTGGCCAGCTCACTTTCCTGATACGAACCCTCTAGATTTTCATTCATGGGGTCTTCTAAAGGCTATTGTTTATAAAACGTCAGTACTAGGTGTGCATTACTTGACAATTGCAATGTCATAAGGAATACTACAGGTATTTTTGAACGTGTCAGACAATCAATGACAAATTGATTGTAGTCATGTATTTTATCAGAAGGTGAACATTTTGCTCATTTACACTTTAAGGTCGAAATTATTTATTATTTACTTTTGGTTTTTATTTTATGTTGTCCATGGATAGAAGTGATTTTTTTCCTCAAATAACTGTAGCAAAGTAAGGATATTTATGATACTTATTTCATATATTAAGTTTTTTTAAACTTCAACGCCCTGTATCTCAGAAACGAAGCAACTCCTGACATATGTTTATAGGAACTTATTTTTTTAAAACGATCTAACGAATCACCCTCTGAAGTTTCGTACCGTAATTTGCAAACACCCTGTATAAGATAGAAAAGCAATAAACTACTCAGAAAATAATTGCGTATAGTTCATTTACAAACATTCATCTCTAGTAACATTGAAAAATGTCCCCATAATAACGGCAGTTCTATCTCACTTCCTCACATAACCTTTAGTTTTGGTACATTATGACTGTTTCATGACTTATTACAATTTTTTCTTAATGTATAAAGTTTTATATTATTTTTCAGTTCCAACCGAGCTAGCTGCCTCCAAAAACCACCGACTAATAATTACATAACCTATACGTATACCGAAATATTACCAGGGGACAAATTTGATTTGAATGCTCAGTGTGAGTTGGAGTTCGGGCCTGGACGTAAAGTTTGCCTCGCGGGAGTAAGTATCAAATATTTCAAAAATTGAAAGTTTCCAAATACTTCTTCGCTGAAAAAAAATAACAAGTTTTTCAATTTCAGAAACCCTGCGAGCATCTGTATTGTTCTACTGATAACTCGGAATATCCATGTATTTCAACTTTTTCTCCATGGGCGGATGGTACCAAATGCGGGGAGGGAAGGTAAAACAACGCAGTTTGAACGTTGAATGTTCGAATGTCCTTTGTCTCAAATGATATGAAAAAATCAAAATGAAAAGATGAGGATGAAAACCAAAAGATAATCTAGAAATTAAAACAGTTTCTTATCAGTTGAAATTGAAATGAAAACTGATATATCAGAGGGGCCAACCTGCGGCTCGCGAGCCACATGCAGCTCTTTGAAGAATTATTTGCGGCTCTTGATAAATATACCCGAGTTCCCTTTTAATATATTTCCATATTTCCCTATTATATTTCGAAAAATTATTATCGTTCCGTATGTGTTTCAAAATGTCTTTTAAATTGCTGACACTAAATATAAAAGCCTAAGTCAATGTTGCAAAATTAAACGATGACGAGTGGTTACAAGACTTATGTCCGTAATCGCCGTTTTCTCTGTAAAGCGAAGCGCTTGAAACTCAAACCAAGCTTAAATGTTTGCTGTATGCACCACAGAACAATAAACGTAGCTTAGCCAAGCGCCAAAATAACTTGGCAACGTTGTGTCTTTTCGGGGATAATTACTGTTTACGCATCATTTCTCAAATTACGAGAACCGAGTTTGGTAAATTTAATAAAAATTGGGGTTTTGGTTTACTTTAACCTTGTTGTCAAAAAGTATCAGAGTCGGACAAAAGAACATACTTACCAATGAATTTTCATTTCTATTACAGCGAAATGAATGAAAAAGAAATCGAAACTTTACCTCAACGGATAATTAATTTTTACAATTCAATCATAGCCCCCTGTGTTGCAAAATAAGATCTTACTGACCACGTATAGAGAGAGAAATGTTCTACTCAGGACTACTTGCATCTCGGCCGATGGCCAGCTCTGATGAACAAATTTAATACTATAAATCCACTTATAAATTTTCTATTTTACGTGTAGTCAGTTATATCTTATGTGATTGTATTAAAAAAAACAATTGAATGTTTGTTTTCCGAATTATAAAGCATCTTCTCTGAGCTCTAATATAGTGTTGTCAGCTTGGTCAATCCGAATCTTCTATAGAAGGCTATATCATCCATCTTCTCGAAATAGTCGGGCCTGCTAAAATTCTCCATGGATATCCAAAATCAATAATGTGTAAGATGCCATTATCGGCTTCCAGCATGATTTCATCTTCTAGTTCCATCATTCTGCAACAACTAATTTTAATTTCACGAGTCCGTTTACTGAAACATTTCAGCAAAACGACACTCACATTGTTTCCAAAACTAAAGAATAAAAAGTGAGGTTCTGATGGCCGCTTACATTTAAGCGAACTTAAAGGCGTTTGTGGATCCGGTGCATACAAAACTGAAGCGTTAATCGAGCTTACCCCTTAAGCTTCGCTTACTGGTATACGGCGAATACGGGCATTAATGTTTTTGACTGATGTCAAGGAACATTTGCAAACACTGAATTCATAATTACAGGGAAAATATAAAATAATATATGTATGTATGCATGTAATATATGTATGTATGTAATATACGTGTATAAATAAAAAACTTTTTTTTAAGACATTAAAAATGGAACATTTTGTCATTTATCTCGAATTAAAAAAAATGTTTTAATATTAAACAAGAAAAACTCAACGAGTATATAAAAAACTTGAAGAAATGTTGACGGAATTCCAAAACAGATTTCAAGACTTGAAATATTTTAAATCATCTAATAATTCAATGTGGGTTTTCCATTTCCAATATAATTATAACCCAAACAGCATCTGGAAAATTAGAATTGATAGAATTAAAAGAAAATCAAGCTCTACGAATAAAATATGATTCGATGCCAATTACTGAATTTTGAAAATTTTTACCAGAATCGAAGTGTCCTGAATTAAAACAGGCTGCTTGTCAAATTATTTCAATAGTCGGAACAAAATAAATATTCATTTAAACGATTTTTTAGAGTATGCTTCAATGGAGAATGCACATTTGAACAAGAATACAAACCTATTGATGGAGGATGGGGTCCTTGGCAAGAGTAAGTATAATACTATAAATTGATGAAGTTTTGAACTAATTTAATTTCGATTTCAAGATTTGGCCCTTGCAGTAGAACGTGTGGTGGAGGTATCAAGAAGTCTCATCGGTATTGCACTTCCCCTAAACCAGTCAATGGAGGTTCCTATTGCATTGGTGAAAACGAACGATACGAATCTTGCAATTCTATGGACTGCGATGCAAATAGCTTGGAATTTAGGTAACTTCATATTTTCAAATCACTTGCCAGAATACACCCAGTCATATTTTACTTATATATAAAATTCCATAGTTATTTGAGATTCCCTTCAATTCGTTGGTAATTTTTTTCTTCAAGTTGAAGTCTACATTTACTGAAACAATTCAAATGTTTCATAACCCGTGGCTAAACTTGGAATATTTCTCCTTCAATTGAACACATTTATCAACACGCTCTTATTAGCTTCACTTGCATATTTGTTTGTAACCGACTCCTTTGTACACGTATCAGGAATTGATGACAATACAATAATTTCATAAGTTTATCTCATTATCCGGATCAGGATAGCCAGAATTAAATAATTTCATAACCTAGTCTCTGTGTGAGAAAACCACACTGTCTACGCATGCGTATATATTTTATATTAAAACAAATGGGCTTGAAATAGCAAGCCAAACTGAAAAGTGAAAAATAAATAACAGTTCAATACTTAAAAAAAACACGCTTCAATAGCAACACAAACTAAAAAATAATTCGAAACTAATTTAAGATTGTGTTTAACATCGGTAATAAGTCCAATGGCTTGATGTAACTAATGACTTTGAATAAGTCTGAAATCAGAATAAATCTATTTACGAAAAAATTATTTTGTTATAAAAAAGCATGGGGTGCTAAATATTCATTGTTATAAATACTTGGTTATTAGGAGCTGTCTTTCTTACGACAATTTTTTTTTTGTAAATAGATTTATTCTGATTTCAGACTTATTAAAAAATCATTAGTTAGATCAAAGCATAGAACTTATTATAGACGTTGAACGCAATCTTAAATTAGTTTCGAATTATTTTTCAGTTTGTGTTGCTATTAAAGCGTGTTTTTACACGCTTTATATTAGCTTCACCTGAATGTTTGTTTGTCAGTTTGCTTGTAATTATCAAGCTCGGGATCTGTATTTGACAGAATTATCGACATTATTGCTTGATCTATTCGCGGGCAGATAGCGCTGTACGTAACCTCTTTGATATATCGACATTATTGCTTGATCTATTCGCGGGCAGATGGCGCTGTGCGTAACCGAAAAGATCAATGGTCATTTTTCTAAACAATATACGGCTTATTGACCCCAAAGTTTAGATGAAATAAATATAGTTTAAAAATAATAAAAAACACGCTTGTGGAGTTTTTATCGACCTTCTTTGGGTATTTTCAACCTTCACAATCTGAAAATTATGAAAATTGTAACTTTATATGCGTGTGGAAAGGGCAAACTTTTCAGTTCATCCCGATAAGTTACTGCATAAATACAAGGTATTTTTCACAAAGAAAAGTGTTCTATTTATCAGTATCTTGTATATTACAATTTTTATATTTTTCAGATTGTGGAAGGTATATTCCAAAGTTCAGCATCTAATATCGATTTGAGAAAAGGAACAAACAACTCCGAGCGTTTTTTACAAATATTACAAAATGAATTGAATTATATAATGAACTTTTTAACAACGAAACAACAACAAAATTCACAAACTCGATAAAAGTTTAGACTTATCTTAATTTTTTTATCTGAAACCCATCATATTGATAAAAATATTTTAAAACATATGAACCTTATTTTCCAAAGTAATACTATCCAAAATGCTCATTTGATTCATAATATCATTTCACCACTGATACCCCCGATGAACCGCTTTTGAACGTGACTATGATGAGACTTCTAATAAAAAAACGTGCATGAGTTTAAGAATGTGGTATTCGAAATATCATTAATTATTTTCCACGTCTCTTTGCAATTACCATTAACATCTTGCAGTTTGTTTTCGTAGTATTGATGTTTCGTTTTTCTTATCAAGTTATTTATTTCTATATTCTTTATATTTCACTTCAGCTTCAGGAGAGTATGCTTTCAATAGCCTTCTTTTCAGATAGTCCCTAGTTCTGATTGAAACAGCTGTTAACACTGACTCAAAAAACCATTGCTTTTTTTCCCGACATCCCCTCTTTCTATGTTTTCTATGTATGTATTCATCTATTTTCTACTAGTGTGTACTAGTCATTGAATGTCAAATTAATATTTATTTGTACACTTTAAATTTTGTTCATGAATGAGTGAATAAGCACAGTACAGGCATTTGTATGCCTAGGTGTCATTTACTCATTCAGAATGAATTATATAATATGAATTATTTTATATGTATAGTTGTACTTTAGAATTGAGTTGAATAAAGTTGAAAGTTGAAAAGTTTTGAAAGCTGAAAAAATGTGTTATATAAACGATAATGAGTTGTTCAGTAAAGAATCAAATTAGTCAGAGAATTACTCAAAAAGGCGAGTTAATTCGAAAGCAAGGCAAGCGAGTAAACAACTGACATATGTGCGATAATTATAAAATGTAATCTAAAATCAGGCTAAATGATTGTGTTGGTCACTATTGATTTCGAAAGTCAGATTTTTCAATATTACCATTTAATTTTGCGAACTCCTTGTGATCATCTCTTCGAAATTTATACTACCTATAATTTTGATTTCTGAGTATATTCAAACAAACTAGAATGTACTGATTTCTCAATAATTTCAGATGGAACTGAGATTGGCCTATAATTGAAATTTGGTTTTTTACCAACTTTGAATAATGGTTTAACTTTGGCTATCATTTTAACAGCACAATTTGTTTAATTTCACAATTGGGTTTGTTTCCAAATAGGTTTATGAAAGGAAAAATTTCCTATAGAACTATCAATAATATTTTTCCCAGTCACACATGAAATGAAAACTGTGTTTTTTTCAGGGCAGTACAGTGCAGTGATTTTGATGGAATTACCAAAGATTTTCCCAACCTCAGCAATGGCGTTCAGTGGTATCCAGAATATAATTTAGGTCAGTATCCCAATATGCTATACCACTACTTTTTTTTTTCAAAAAGTCCTTGGATTAACCGAATTTCTTTTCAGAAAGACCTGAAGATTATTGCAGGTTATACTGTCTCCCAAACAATGTTAAACCCAGTTACCGGCTGAAGGATAAAGTACTCGACGGTACCAAGTGTGGTCCGTCGGGGTTTGGTATTTGCGTTAACGGTATTTGCAAGCCGGGTGGTTGTGACAATATACTCGATTCAACAGTGGTTTTAGGTAAGGATGCACCACCCAAAAACAGCACACAAATACTGGTGTTTCGACCACTGTCCTTACTTATAACCCATTGACAAAACTGACACGCAATATTTGATTCATACCTACTAAATTGTTTAAAGGAAACTATTAGAATAAAAAAATCAATCAGATATACAGAATACATATTTCAAAATCGTTATTGTTGGGAAGGTGGTTTTGTTCCATTGGTAGTGGTCGTGGCTTCATTTATATTTGTCGAATTAAATGGCCATTTTTTACGAGTGTAATTTAGTGCAGATAGACAGACTTCATTGATGTTAATTCCTACTTTTTTTTCATTGTAACTTCGATTCTCTCAGGTTTCCTTATAGTCGGGGTCTCTCAACTAAAGTCTTAATTACCCCGCCCTTTTGTCTTCTCTAGTGGTTGGAGTTTTTATTCAGATACATGTCTCTATGGTTGACTTTCTGTGCATTCTGTAACCCAATGTTCCATATCCATATTCTCGCCATCCAAAAAGGCGATTCTTCCTTGGGATTTCCATTCCATTATGAATTGGATTTTTGGTTTATGGCAGTTCAGATGTAAGATCTGATTAAAGATAGAGAATGCCAAAGCAACTCCCAAATGAGTAGTCACTGGAAAAGCATTCCTGTTTCATGTAAAAAAATATTACGGAAAGAGAAACACAATGTCAAAAAAAGTCGACCAACGAAAATCATCAGAGAAAGTACAATGTAGTACAATGCTTCCACCCAACGCTACATAAGGATATAAAAATTCAAAAACACAAAAACAATTTCAATGAAAAAGAAGGAGGAATTAACAGAAAAATCACAGAAGCAGTTCAGACTGCTTGTACGTGATATAGTAACGCATCCGAGTAAGAACGAATTTAGATTTTTCAATAACGTTAAGTTCAGGTAAAATTTTCAGTAAGAATCACATATAGGTAGAATTTCACACTTTGATATATGACATAATCAAGAGGCAGATAGTAATATAGCTGGGAAAGTTCCAGCGCAGAATCCCATGTATTTTCTTATGACACTTCATTCCGGACCTTTTTGGACCTCAGGCCCAGTTCACACGGAAGGGACAAAGGTTAGCGCCTCGTCTCTGGCAGACGTCCATTATGTGTGAACCGAGCCTTAGCCTTCAAACCCTTCTTTTTCCTATTTTTTAATATTCACCTGGAATTTATAATATTGCTGAACATATCACGTCCCATTTTGAGAATCCACTCAATAATGAATTTTTGTATTTTCTATATTTTTTAATATTCTGAGTCTTATGAGGTACGTATTTAAATATTCAAGGTGTCAGGTAATTGACATTTCGCTGTCCGATCATTTTCTCTTAACGGGGTAAAAATAGGGCAAATTTTTTTCACGTATTGTGAACTTGTAATATAATTTTTCCATTTTTAATGAATAAAATTTGGTTGTTTAGAAAGTTTTATCCGTTTCAATATCGTGTGTTTTTGAAGCTCCAAATCTCAATAAATATTTATTTTACTGTGCCACGGCGTGTACCGATCGATAGAGAATTTTATACTCTTTACATTGATACTGTACTTGATTTGCCAAATTTCAACTGTTTGCCTCTTTTCAGCTTATTACTTTATGATATTAAGCGGTATCAGGAAAATTTTTCGTTACGAATTCAACTTGAACCAAAGCTCTGCCGAAACAGCCCGAAAAGTAACCAGGCATTTGGCAATGATAGTGTTAATGAACGCACTGTTCGACGCAGTTTTTGATGGTTTAAAACGTATTGGAAAGATCAATAAGCTCGAAAAATGGGTTTCCCATGATTTGAACGATCGACAGAAATTATAACGTTTCGAGTTCTTCTTTGCTTTTTCGCAACCAAAAGAATGCTTTTTTGGATTAGATCGCCACGTGTGATGAAAAATGGATCCTTTACGACAACAGAAGACGTTCAGAACAGTGGTTCAGTGGTTGGACACCGATAAGCCACCCAGGCACTTTCCAAAGGCGAAAACCCACCAAAAAAATACCGCGGTTACTGTATAGTAGTCAGCGGCTGGTGTGATTTACTACAACTTTCTGCAACCGGGCCAAACTATCACAGCAGAATCCTACTGTACCGAAAATTGCGTCAGCAGCGGCCGGCACTGGTCAACAGAATATGTCCGATACTGCTCCGCGACAACGCCCGTCCGAACGTTTCACAAATCAACGTCTGAAAATTAAACGAATTGATTGTCGAAGTTCTGACTCACCCACCATACTTTACAGATCTCACGCCAACAAACTACCATATTTTCAAACAATTAGATAACTTTCTCAACGGTAAAACCTTCACCAATCAGTACCATGCAAAGGCAGCCTTTATCGACTTTATCGAATCCCGAGCACCCAATTTTTATGCTGACAGAATTATTCGACTCGTGTTACGTTGGCAAAAGTGCAATACTTCAAATGGCGCGTATTTCGAGTATATTGAATATGTATTCACTGAGATATTACAGGTTAAATTAGACCCGTTAAACGGACAAAACTTTCGAAACAACCTATGATATTTTATAGAGAATAGTTGTCTGATATCCATAATTTGTGTTCCTTTATGTAAGAAATCGCCACAATAATTACGTATCTTGCCAAATTTTTATTTTTTTATCCATTTTTGAGCTACATTCACACTTTCTAGAAAACAATCCCAAAATTCCGTGACTGTATTAACTGTCTGATGTCCGTAAAATCTATGAGATAACTAAATTTCGGAAGGAAACCTTTTAATTTTTTGCGAAGACGTTTTGTGTGTAAGTATCATCTATCGTGACACCAAAGTATTCCACCGATATTGCTGAAGAGATTCCTTTTTTAAACCTATCTGACATAAGTTTTTGTGTAATTAACAGTCAATTTATTTAATTGAAACCATTCTAAAATTTTAGGAAAATGATCACCCCAAAGTGATGTTTGAAACTAATACAGTTGGTGAATCCTCCCTCACCATATCATGATAAAATAGAATCGCTTATTTCTTCAATATTAGAAAAATATCTGATATGTCATATGCATTTTCTTCTCAATTAGAAAATGTTTCTGATTCACTCAGTGTAGAAATGTAGAAAAATTTTACATTTAAAGTAATGAGTGTATGTGAAAATCGGCAGATGTTAAACCATGACAACTGAGGTCTCTTGAGACCGTATTACCACTATCACGTTCAGTAAATCTCTTCGTCTATCTCTTAGGCCTTTAAGTGATCCTCCCTGGAGTATTCGTTTTCTATTATAAGAGTCAATTGTGACCCATATTGATTCTTATAAGAATAGTATCGTCGTTTTATTCTTTGCTCTGTTGTGTCCCGTAGACCATACTTGATAACGTTCTAGTTTTTTATTTCTTACCTCCGATAGTTTCTTGTTACGTTCCTTTTCAGAGTGTTCGTCAAGATTAAAATTTCCTCTGTTTCATTTAATGGTATTACTGTTATGTTCAAAAGCTTTGCCCTCATCCCATTCATTTTTGTAACTCAACGTTGTCATGAACTTTGTCGCAAAGTTGAAGTGTTTTTGCTATCTTGGTATATATTCCATTGTTAACTATCCAATATTGACAACCCAATACTTGTATCTAATGCTTTTTTTCTGGTCTTTCCAAATAGAAGAACAGAATAAAGTTATTTCCCGATGGAACATACATGTTGATGTGTAAAAAATAATTCAAAATCAATACATAGGCAAATCACAGGAAAACCACGGAAAAATTCTTGAAATATTCATGTACTACATAGGTACTGAAGGGTGCACTTGATATGTTGTAAGGACAAAAAACTTGGAGGGCAGACCTTATAAAAAATTATAATACTAGCTATACCTGAAAAAGAATTACATTACAGTACGTTGCGAATAATTTAGATAATTCATATTTTCGAATGTATGTAATCGCAGTATAATGAAATACTGCAATTAATCCATACTGCACCATAATTTTACTAGTGGGAATAACATACAAAAGTATAGCACCAACTTTTCATGCTGTGATTTAATTTAGAAAAAAACATTTGTATTATTTATGTTCTGAAGTTTATCTGATATTTTATGCTTTCAACACTATTTATTTTAGGCTGGCATAACCATCTACATCCAAAGGGGGTGTTTCCTAAATCATAATGGGTTTTCCTATCATAGTGTACCAGTCACAACATTTTGAACCTTTCTTATTCCACATGTTAGTGAAAACCATCTCAATGGTTACAAATGATGAAATATACATTTTTTTTGGCTTCATGCGAACGTTCTGAACCGATTTATTATTTATCCTTGATTCAGAATGTGAAAAAAGCTGAATATGAGCTGTTCAGATTATGAAAATACAAATTTTAAATTCCGTTTATAAAGCTCTGCAATGAAGCAAACAGACAATTTCGAGAAGCAGGATACTGATAAAACCAGTACTATTCAAAATAGTACCCTTCACATTTCTGGTATTCATTTTTAATGCCACAATGCTATTCAGAATAAATCTCAGATGCGTTTTTAGTTCAAATAGGCTTTCAGTTCTTGAGAATATGCAATACTTATTAGATGTTTCAGAAACAAAGTTAACATTCAACATTTGGAAAACCTCTAACAATTTTATTTATACTAAAATTAGCTAACACAGGCTAACAACCACGCTATATGTAGTACACACATTTTCAACTAATACTCTTGCTTGCTGAATGTGATGAATCCTGAATATTTCATTAACCAGATGACGTTCATGTCGATGATAGCTGTAAAAAGCGAGATCTTCTATTATTCAGATGACTGTGGCATTTGCGGAGGAGACAATAGCCGTTGCCAGGAAATTAGTGGGACCTACAACAAACCCGCCGATGTTTCTGGATATAACAGAGTCGTCAGGATTCCAAAAGGTAGCTCCAATCTGAACATCACACAAAATTCGTATCCATATATCGTCGATGAGAATTATCTTGGTAAGTTGAAAACAAGTTTTCATTTCATATTTTGCTTTCTCAAGCAAGTTTTCTAGTTTTACGATTTTTTATTATTATATTTTCAATGTATTATGATCTTTCTCTATCTGGAAAAAATGTACGTTCTCAGAATAATTATATTTTAAACGATGTTATATTTGCTATTTAACTATTTTGTTGTAAGCAAATTTAGAGTACAACACACTGATGACTAATTTAGAATTGGGTTCCTTATAGAGAAAATTGTTTTCATTTCAATACAGAAATTTTGTGGGAGATGCTATGTCTGCCCTGTCTATACTTTTATGTTTTCTAAACGTCTACAGGTTGTGAAAAATCATAATTTGTAAAATCACCCAAAACATAGAAAGTTTTCTCATTTTTCATGAAACTATAATATATGTTCATTAAATATTTGCAATCAATATGTCGTTCTCTATGAAAAATACTGATAATTGGTGAATATTTTATTGAAGTTCTTCAATATATTTATTTCGAGTAACATTTTCATCAGTATAATCCTAGAAATTTTGTGTGGTTTTTGTATATAATCTCATTATTTTCAATTAAATTGGGGGATAATAATCAATCTATTGATCTGCCAATGTCCTCTCTCTCTCTATCATAAAACAAAATGTAGGGTGTCTCCAGAGGTTTCAATAAATTCAATACATCTCCAGAACACTTAGTGACACAACTATCGTCAAACTTAAACCAGTCCGTTTCGTCTTTGACCAAGGCGTAATAATAACCAGATTCAACGCCAGAACCACAGTGAACAAAGACTGCATGAAGATTATAATAGTGGTCTACTATATTGAAGTGTTCATCTATTTCGAACTTTCGTAAGAATTTGGTGTTTCCGTCACAGGTTGAGTCATGTTTGAAGATCATTAGTGTTATTATTAGATTGACTAGTGCCTCAGCTATACTTATTTCCTTATAACAGTCAGTTACTTTGGCAATACAGTCGATCATCACCTGTTAAAAGTTCCATTTTCAGATGATTTAACAATAAGCTTTGCACGTATTGGTTATTAGTCATATTAGGAAACGCTAGTTGATGTTCCAGTAATTCACATACGTTTTGCTACCTCTTGAACACTTACTACAAAGTAGACAGGTAAGGATTTTTCCAGCAAAAGATTTAAAAAAACACAAGACGAGATAGACTGTACGGAATCATTCAGTCCAAAGCGGTCAGAAATATTGATTCTGCTATTGTTTTGCTCACGAATAGTATTCAACAAGAACCCCAAGAATTCGGAACAATCCTCTTGTTGTCCTAACGAGTATCTAGTGGACTTCAAAGACTCCAGGAAATCAGTTGGAGGGAAAGATGACACATTCTTACGAAACTGCTGCTGCATGAACAGGTGTTTGAGTTTGGTGAATAAGTAGGAAACATTCTCATTCTCGTTCATCATTAAAATCTCGTTCTTAAAATTCTTTTGTCATGAACAACACTTGTAAAATGCTTTTCATGGAGCAAGTGTTTCCTAAATTATCCAATCCAATTTTCTTCTCAATATTGATTCGTAACGAAGAACATGTTTCACAGAATCTGCATAAGAACCATTTCTCAAGCTGCTGTCGATCCTCCCAAGTGATGAAGGGTTTCGTAGAGGGATCGATTCGGCTCTTGCTTCATGAAGCTCTTCCACTGAAAGGGAACCAACTCATATTTGGGGGGGAAGAATGACCTAAGTCCATTGACCGCACTGAAAAAGAAGAAGGTGGATCAATCACTCGCGAATTAACCTTGATAGGAGACTGATGAATATCCACATATCTCGGCTTGTTTCGGAGAGATCTTTCGATGATCTTTTGTTGCTTGGCCTATTCTCCTTCCGAGTTCAAGAACGAATAACAGAGACTCCGGAGCATAAACACCAAAAGTTTCAACTGCTACCGGATAGAACAGATAGTTGTTACCAAGATATTGTTTTTTTTTTTCGTTTAAATTTTTCTCCAGACAGTGCTGCGGTTCCAGTAGACTTCGAACTTTCGGCTAGATGGGAAGCCGCGACCGTGTCAACGCAAGTGAAGTTCCATACCACAGGTTTACCGTATTTCCAAGGTATATGAGAGACATACCATCTGGTCGTTTACCATCATCTCGACTGGTACCTAAGGGTTCCAGAATTATATAAAAAATATATTAATATTTACATTCTATGTATCAAACCAATTTTCCAGAAAGAGCTTATGAAATTACGTTACGCTCAAAACTATAACATTCAACGATTGGTAAAATTGCACTTATATGTCTCTCAGAAAAAAGAAATGAAACTTGATAATTATAATCATTTCCTCAACAGTTTTGATTGATGGCGAAACAGGGGATCCCATTTTGAATGGAAATTACATGGCAAACACAGATGGTTTAGAAGTGAAATTTGGAAATATCAACCTCAATTACAGCGGAGCCAGTTCAACAATTGAATGGATAATTAGCCCGAAAAATAGAAAACTTCCGAAGGATTTGGTTATAAGTGTTCTGTCAGTAGGAAAATTATCCCCGCCTGACATTCGTTACAGATATGTTATAGATATCAAGGAAGCACCGAGGTAAATTCCTCTCAACATTTGAGGTCACTATAACAACGTATTTAAAAAAAAAGTCGAGCTTTCCAAAACTATATATTTGGGGAATATTTGAAAATGGCAGTATAATTATTTCATACTGAACTAGGATCATAAATTTCTTTATCAAAAAAATGCAATGCCGTTCTGGCTTTGAAAGAATTAGATTGATATTGTTTTGAAGTACTCTTTTGGAGGTTGAAATTTAACAACTATACGTTATTTAAGTGACCTTTTTTAAGCCAAATGTTGGTGTAATCCAACAATAATTAATTTTATAATGTTTATACTCAGGTATCCAAGATATTACTTGAGTAACTACCGGGGATATGTAAGAAGGTATTTTTTTCAACATAATTCTGTAATGCTTTGTATGTATTTATGTCTACTTTTCAATGGTGATTGGCTCTTCGTGGAATATAAAAATCGTATTTATAACAAATTGTGCAAATTTGCTTTTTCTCGCCTATTCTAAATTTTCGTGGTATTTGGTATGAAACTTCTTTCATGTATAATTGTTTTATATGTAACTTATAAATGTGAGGATACTTGACTCGCATAAAGGTAGGTGATATATTAATGTTAAACATTTTAACAAGAAATATCTAACTGTAAAAGTCAGCTGAAACGTGAATTATGTATGCTTTAATCTCGCCCTCATCATAAAATGTAAAAAAGCAAATGTATTATTTGTAGCTGTTGCATTCTTAACAAATATGTTATTTTAGTGTTCAAATTTTCATCATAGTCACAATAGAAACATTTTGGCAGTAACATCCAGAAATTTTAAAATAATATTTTCAAATCCAGTTCACATGAATTCATTGTTTGAACCCGAATACGATTGTAGATACTAAAAAATCGAAACGTCGTGAAATAACTTGGCTTGAAATCTTATATCTGTTCAGACAGTTCAAATTGCGTGCATCAATTCTAATTTGAACACTATATGACAAATTTGTTGGAGTTATGTTTTTCATCCTTCTACAATATTTCAAGTAATATTTGCAGATACGGTTGGAGACTATACCAAAAAGAATGGTCAAAGTGCAACTCAATATGTGAAGGTAAACAATATAGGAAGCCATCTTGTGTAGAACTCATTACTGGGGAAGAAGTACCTAAGAGCTACTGTGACAACATGGAAGATAGTTTGACTCAAAAACAAGAATGTAATACTCATTGTGAGTTAACATGGAACATAGCATCGAAGAGTGCGTGTTCACCACAATGTGGAAAAGGGTAAGAAATTTTTTAAATATTTTTGAATAGTTATGGTGCATCAATTCTTTTAGCTAACACATTTGAAATCAAAAATTTGAAAAGTCAATAATTCTTCAAATATACTTTCAACAATTACTGTAAGATATATATGAATCACTTATAATTGATATTACTCAGAATCATAAAATTGTTCGCAATTTTTTTCTCGATCTTGGTGCATTACTTTACAGATGTGTTACTTACTGAAGATTCCAGTTGTAGAGGTATTTGATTTTCTTACCGTCTATGACCTTGACAGTCATAGGCGGTAAGACCTTGCGCGTCGCTTCTACGGTAAGAAGCACAAAATTATTCAAGTGAAAACTGAAAACATTGACTCAAATATTCGTTTAGTATAACTACAATAGTCCAGAAAAGGTCCACACTGGCCTAGTTGAAGATTTGTTTGGTAGAAATTATTACACAAGTTAATAACAGATATTCAATACAAATATTACGGTAACTGAATATAGCTCTGCTTTAATCTTTAAATTTATTTTGTGATGTGAATGGCTTACGATAAAATTGTCAATGAGAAACAACCCAAAGTCTACCCAGTGGCGGCGAAGGACCTAAATTTAATGTATGCAAGGTACATTTCGCGATGCCGTCTGATCTAGCACAACAAATCGAAGATATGAAATACATAATAAACATGATTTTTTATCATGTGATGTTTTGCAAAGAAAACTATAGAACTATGAGTGAAAGTATAATAAATTATTCTTACCTTATTCTTGATAAATAAAATAGATACAGGTGTTCTGAATGTCTTCTTATTAAACACGTGTTATCGTTTCAAAACTATGGAACATTCTATTATTCATTGTCACACTAAATACTTTTATAATTTATAATATAGGAACATGAAGCGAGACTGCGTCTGCATGCAATACTTTGATTGGCTTTCTATTAAGGGAAGTCCCGATGTCTCTTACCGGGATTCCCCGCGAAACGCCAGCTTAACGCCAAGTAATTTGCCGGACTAAATAAAAACGAATGATAAAAAACTACAAAGATGATAATCAAAAAAAGAAATATAGGTATTCAGGATATTTTTCATTCATATTCTTTCGTGCGCCGAAGAGAGGCGGTGGCCCACACCATGCCGCCTCTGAGTCTACCAATAATACAGGAATTTTTTACAAAACCGCAACACTTGTTTCACTTGTTTCAGATGTCTTCATACTGAGGAAACTATTGTATAGTAAAACACTTGTTACGGTTTCGTGAACCATTCAGTAAAAATCTCACAATAAATGGTTACTTGAATAATTACTAGTCTTTCAAGAGTTTTCATAAATCTGGCTTTTCGTGATATGGCCAGTATTGAGTAGGTCGTTTCGATTATCCTCCGTTTGACTATCCGGTTTTTGAGAGTATTTCAAAGTAATCGGATATCAAAGTATCTCCAAATGGGACGTCGAAGTGCATTTCGTAATTTGAAGTTATTTATTCAGTGCCACTTCAAGTATATCAGGGAATATTTGATATATAACACTGTTATCCACACCTGTATTACTGTAGTAAGTAAAGCATGCACAGTTAGATAAAGTAGTACGTATATTCTAAATTCTAAATCGTATCTTTTCTCAGCACTTGCTTATTTTGATTTGTCAGTTCGCATTCAATAGCTGTACTGATGTCGAAACCATCTGTATAACCTAGAAAAAGCTCGTAAAGCAATATGGACCTGAGTTCGCAAATAAATGACTTTACTCATCAAGACTTTGAAGATTGTTACAAAATATATCAAAAAGTGATAAAAGTGATAAAATGCAATTATCATGAAATGAAGACCAAAAAAATATTGCACAAGCAATATACTGATTAACCTAATCGCCGTGTCTAATACTGATAGAATTTTAAGAAATGATACTTTGGATATAGACTCAGTATCCTACCACTGTTTGGTACTCATTGATTTAATATATGAAACTGAACAAAGCAAACATGAAAATAACATTTATAGATATTCTAAATAATTCAAAAATTACACTTTCTTTGCTGATTTGCAACTGGTAGACGTCAATCAAATAGTCCCACGTTTCAATAATCATATACTTTCTGTTTTTGACACGCACCTCCCATCAGAAGAGTGAGTAAGCCAAAGGCACCTTGGCTGACAGATGTATTGAAAATAATGGAGGAAATAAATAAGAAATATGAAAAAAATACCTTGAATAGGTACATTCAAGATCAACACCATCAAAAAAACTCCTGGAACACGTTACATCTTTTTGATACTGTAATGAGCAAATCCAAAAATAATGTACATGACCAACTAAGTAACCCAAATCGAATAAATACCGTTTCACTTCATCAGTCAATCTAGCTGTACAATAATGATAAAGTATTTGTCGACCTTCAATATAATAACGTACCTATCATTCAAATTGCATCCTATTGATAGATATGACACAGAACGTTTTTTTAACAAAATAAAATTTAATGCTACCGGCTCCGATATCCATCAAAATGATAAAATTATGCATTTCATTCATTACTTCCTTGTTAACCTACAGTATTATTAAATGTCTAGATTAGGGATGTTATCCAGATAGATCTGTGATACTTCCTTTCAGCAAAATATCCTAGCCAACATCCTACAATGATTTGGGACCTATAAACATACTACCGGCTATATAAAAAATTCTAGAAAAGGCAGCATATGAACAAATATATAATTGGATAATGGAAAAAATATCTTACCTGTAAATCAGCAAAGTTTTAGGCAAAACCATAGCACCACTAGCGCCCTACTGAAAATGAGGGATAACATATTTCGGTCTTCTGAGAATGATGAATCAACTCTCTGTGTATCAATTGATGATAGTAAAGCATTTTTTGACACTATCAATCATGAACTTCTATGTGCCAAACTTCACTATACTGGTTTTGATGAGATCTTATCAAATCATTCAAATCATTTCTTAGTAATAGAACGCAATGTGTTGGACTAAACAGTTTAACATCTGATTATAATCAAATCTCACGTAGTGTACCCCAAGGGTTCATTTTATCTTTGTCACTCACTCCCTAGGTTTTCTTGGCCTTTGCTTCCATACAGCGTATTAAGCTAATCTTCGTTACTCTTTATTATGTATACTCCTACTCCTATACGAATTTATATTTCTCAGGTAAATTTAAAACTTTGTTGGGGCGAAAGCATTCTTTGAACAACGATATAAAAAACGTTGTGAATATTTCTAAAGACCGACAGAGGGCCGTAGATAGTACCAAAATTAGAATCGTAAATCACGAGATTGAATATAGCGATGAAATTGAATGTTTGGGACTCAATAGTGACTACTAATTACGCTTTCAATCACATGTAAAGTCACATGTAAACAGACATTTTGTCAGTCGAAACATGAAAGTCATTTTATGTGATACTTAAATTTTATCCATATTCAACTACTGCGATATCGTCTATGGCCCTAGTCCCGATCAAATTATGTCATCAAGAATTCGAAAAGTTCAGAATGCATGTACAAGATTGATTTTTGGCTTGAAATTCAGAGATCATGTATCTCCTTTCATACATCAGATCGGGTGGTTGAAAATTCTCAACAGAAGAGAATTGAATCTGGCTAACTTCGTTCATGACCTTAGAAAATAAAATAGCCACGATAAACCCTTGCGGGTTGCGGTGGAGGATCGAATAGACGCACTCACTTTAGACCTAACCTAACCTAGAATAAAACAACATCCTCAATATCTTTTTGACATACAAACGCGATACACATGATAGAAGTCTCAGAAATCGGAATGAATATTCTATTCCACAGCATAAAACCAAACAGTTTGAGCGATCCTTCCATTATCAGGCCATCACTATCTATAATAATATAAAACAGTTTCCTTCATTGTTTTAATTGGTTTTCGGGATTTGCCGTGGTCTTCTTTGGTTACAATCCCCAAACGTTTCAACTTCAACTGCGGCAGTGATCTTCAGTGGCGTGGTTGAAGTACTCTTCTTGACTTATCAACTATAGAGTTTCAATTGATACGTCAAGAAGAGTACTTCAACCACATCACTGAAGATGACTGCCGCAGTTGCAGTTGAAACGTTTGGAGATTGTAACCAAAGACGGCCACGACAAAATCCGGAAACCAACCAAAACATTTACACCAGCCGCAAAAACCTACATTCCTATATAATTTTCATTTATTATTAGTGTCGACCGAAACTGGTTTTTACAACAGAAACCGAATTTCGACATTTCGGCAACGGTCTCAGTTTTGGCCGAAACCGAAACTTCCTTACAAGGATTATGTTTTGAGGGAAAAATAAAGAAAACGTTATTATAATCAATCAGTCTTTATTTTTTTATCTTCAAATCACAACGTTATGTAGTTTTCGACATTTTTACTTATCGATAATCAACATAACAAACCCTTGTTTAAGAAAAAATATTAATTGCATCTTAAAAATACTTAAAATAGGTGAGGTGTTTATTTGAGTAGGTGTATCCTTCATTTGAATATTATTGATGGTTTTTCAAAAATATTAAACATAAAATTTCTTATTTGAGCTGTTACCCAATATCACAATAGGTACTTAATATTTATTTAATAAAAAAGTAAATCACAAAGTAAGTCACGACATGTTTTAGTTAATTTGCGTGAAAACTTGAATGTAGTTCCGTTATTTTCATTAAAAATATTTACGCTATTTGTTTTTTTTTTTTCATCTGGCGGCACTTTATTGCTGAACTCATAAAAAAATATTCTCATGGCTATATCTCTTGATATAGGGTGTTTTTTGTGACTGTTAGCTGTGTGAGTTTTCGAATTTTTGAGTTGTCATAACTTTGTTAATAATGAATATTTTTTCATGAAATTTTGGTCACACCTATTTAGAGGCACTCTGAATCCATTGGCGTAGTGATTTCTTCAATAAAAAAATCGCTAATAAAAAATCCCGATTTTCAACTAAGAAAAAATATCGTAGTATGCCCTGAAACTTTAATAAACATTTCAAATTTTGTCCCAAGGTAGACCTTTTAGTACTTGACATATAAAAAAAAATATTAAAATCGATTTACAACTTCAAATTTTAGGGGGGTGTTTCCATTAAAAATGGAAAAAATCAGTCAGTAGACATTCAGTCACTGCTAACTCGAGGCATGTCCTTGTTAAAAGGCACATAAAAGTTCAAAAGTTGCGTTGATGATCCGACCTATTACCACCAATTTTGTTTAATATAACGCTTTTGGATCTGATATCACCTGATTATCTGTTTGAAGTGAAAGCTGACAAAAGGCTTGAAGCGATTTCTTATTCAGTGATTGACATTGAATCTCAGCTTTGCAGCAGACAGCAATTGTTAGCCTTGTTTATTTTTGATGAAAGAAGTCCTTATACCTGCTTCTTACTAAATATTATATTCTTCATTTCAAACAGCTTGTGAGTGAATATAAAAAATAACTTAATTCAGTAATTTATTATTTACTTATTGAAAGCTTTAGAAACAAATACTTTCGAAAAGAAGTATGTGTAGTATTTTTACATTAAAAGTTATTCATTTCTTTTTACTTTTACCAAAATGTAAAATTGTTTTTAATAAATTGATGAATAACCACTCATATCCAATGTATATATTTTTAAATTTTTGAAACTAATTTCACTAGTATTTATTGCCAGAATCCGTCGTATATACTATGACTGCATGAAGGTGTACAAAAAGAAACCAAGCCACAGTGAAACCGTTAACGAGAAACACTGCACTGTATTGTCTAAACCCCCTGTTTTAGAAACTTGCAACACCCTGTGCAATTCCACAAGATGGCATTACTCGTCGTGGTCAGAGGTAAGAAAAAAATATATTTATCCATCAATATACATATTTATTATTCACATTTATCACATGTTGATACAACTTAATACATTCATCAATAAGAATAGATTCAGATATAAATGTTGGTGTTTCGTTTGAATATCAGTCTGTTGTACTCAAAGGTATTTTATGATGAACTGGAAATGTATGGTGAAGTAATGATAAAAATTTAGAGTAGCATTTTTCAAACACAATTTATTCCAACAAATTCAAATCAGAATGTTTCATTTAATGATTTCTTTACTATTATTAAAAAATGGTTACCAAAAATCATGAAGATTGACTAATTTCAGGTTAAATTGTATATCTCTAATAACCAACAATTTGTAGCCTGTAAAGAATGACTTGATTGATGATGAATATTAATAATGAACCTTTCTAATTCAACTACTTTTTGCTTCACTTTGTGCAACATTCCTGATATGAACAGAAAATAAATCAATATATTTGCATCCCTGCCTAAGAAGTCTACACTTTCTTGTCACTGCCTGTTTTTCCACGTTGATAAAATAATATCATATCTCGTGATTGTCCTAGTTTCCAATACATGAATGGTCAGTACTAACCACTTAAATTTACTTATGAATTTCACTAATCTGTTAGAAAACTTATAAGATCAATCAAATCTCTGAAGTGATAAAAGTTTCTATAAGATATTATTTTAAACAAGTGAAATTGTAAAGAAATTACTCTCATAATCTAACAGATTTTTGTATTAAAATGAAATATTGGTGTATAACAATTAAAGAAGTGATAACTTTTATCAAGAAAGTGGGGCATCGCATCTACGGAGGATGATACTTCAACGGTCTTGTTGAACAACAATCAGAACTTGACAGTTAAAGGTAGACAAGACAGGTCAAAAAAAATATCCTCAATAAAAGGACCTACGTTATGCAACAGGTCCACCTACAGATCACTGTTGTCTGAATAGTCATATAAAGAAACTACCTTTTTTTAAGGATGTTAGAGAAACTTAATGAGTGCATAAAATAATCCTTTTAAAGCAATATTACTACAAGAAAAAGGTAAGACAAGAGTGAAATCTGTAATTTTCTATGTTATAAGTGACGATCTTTCCAATTCAGGTTGTTCACAAGCAAAAGCAAAAGTAATTTTGAAAAAGTCATTATCAAAGACATTTTGAAATTGAAGAAGAAATTACAGAACTAACTCTCCAGTGAAAATAAGGAATTATCAAACATGTTGAAGTATCACTTGACCTCTCATTCTTTTTAAAATTTTAGGGGTGTGACTTACCTCTAATCTAAAGAGACAGCTGAAAATATACACAAAATATTTCCCCTTAGAAAAAAGTCTACAGATTTATCAATCTTTCATTGGCCCACCCTATACTTCAGTAGTTGATAATTTCATTACTTCGGAGAATTTATTATTTATTTACTCGCTTTGTAAATTTTAATTGAAGAAAAGTTTAGACCTCTAGGAAGCAGAGCATACTCTTAGATGGACCTATTTCTATCTTCATCTTTATCGATACATTCAACATTATCATTCTTCCTCCTTCAAATGCTTAATAGCAATAGTTTCTTTAAATGAGTGAAAACAGGAAGGTTGCACACATTTAATATGACATTCTTTTTTAGCAGATATGAAAGTGATGAATATTCAAATCCAAATGTAAAATAGATGAAATTGATAGGGAACCTTACATTATCTATTCAGTGAAAAAATAAACTATTCTTTTTTCCTGAAACTTCCTGAGGGCTAGGATATGAAAAATTGAATTTTTCACTGAACATACGATTGATATGACCGGAAAAAAATCAGTTTGACTCAATTACCTTTACATATTTTTTCGTTTCGTTTCACAGTGCAGTAAAACATGCGGAAGTGGCATACAGAGTAGAACTGCAAAATGCGTTGATGACAGATATACACCTATGGACGATTCTTATTGTAACAATAGCGAGATGATTACACAACAGATATGTAACACCGAAAATTGCCCCATATGGACTGTAGCTGACACTTCACCTGTAAGTTGAAAGATTTATATTGAAATATTAGATATTCACTGTGACAGTATAGTTGGTCAGAAATATCCAGCAAACAAATACTTTTAATCATGCTAATAATGGAACAAAATGATTTTTTTAATCAAATTAAAACTACACACGAACGAAGAGACTATGGAGGTTATGACATGGTTCATTGAAAAGTGAAACTTTCAAGCAATACCCTCTGTTATAATTGTATGTTAAAGTGCTTATTTATCGATTGAAAATAGAAACGGTTAACTGAAATAATCGCGCTATATCCTGGTTGACTTCTTTAAATTGGCTTTAACATCATCAGTAGTTATTCATAATGGCAGATTCTTATCAGTAGGTATCGTATTTTTCTTATTTATCTTCAAAAGTTCATTTCTAGGACATCACTCATATTTTTTATTTTTCTCAACTGTACATCTTATTTTGAATAATATTATATTTATTTCATCAGTTCAGACTTCCATTGTCTAATTTAATATAAATTGATTTGAAATCCCTGGAAAAATCTGTAAAAAATTAAAAAGATTAACCGAAAAATAACAATTTTATTGAACAAAAAACTGAAATTACAAAGAAATAACATACAAGCAACAATTTTTAATTGTTTGGTTGTTTTTTTAATTATTTGGTTGTTGCTTGTATGTTATTTCTTTGTAAATTCAGTTTTTTATTCAATAAAATTGTTATTTTTCGGTTATTCTTTTGAATTTTTTACAGATTCTGATATTAAATTAGACAATGGAAGTCCGAACTGATGAAATACACCACAAACCATTATCAACCACCTTCAAACAAATGTTATATTTGTCTATAAGATTTTTAATATTTCTGATGAAAGTATCTCTCTCCTTTTGAACAGAAACATTTCATTCTGAATTAACCAATTATAAAAAATATAAGTGAAACTTTCTATTCTGTAACTGAAAATTGAATGAATTTCATTCTCTAATATCAAATCATCTAAAGGCCAGGCCAGTCTCAACTCCCTACACTGTAGGTTAATGGAGTGACACCTATCAGAAAACAACTAGTCCCCTGGCTAATAACATGAAGGGCGTCGGATTATATCCGACAGGTGTCAGTTCAGGATTCTTCACTGAAGTTATTCCTGTATATGCTGTTGGCGATAAAACTGCCACAATAGATTTTCAATTATTAGAACACACTTGCAGGCCGCAAGACGATGATTTCCGATAATTGAAAATCGAATTCCTTCAAAGTATCATTCCTTGAACTAGGCTGAAGCGGACAACAAACGACAGGTTTGTCATCGCCCCATCTGCCTGTGAACGAGGTAACCAACCGCATATCCGAAATTTGCCCAATTCCTCATATAAGGAAAGAACTTTTCACATATGGTCTAATATCCCAAAATATATTAAAGTTTAAAAATAATCTACATAAAAATGTATTTACGAAATTCTTGCTTATTAAACACATTGCTGAGAAAACATAGTACTTTACAACTGTAACGTTTCAGTGTTCTGCGCCTTGTGGAGGTGGCTACAAAAATATATCGTACTACTGTGTTCTGGATGGTCGAATTTTCGAACAACAAGCATGCGATATTAATACAAAACCTCCAGAGAAGGAAAGTTGCAATGAACAGGCATGCGGAAGATGGACCCCACTCAATATTTATCATTCTTGTTCTGTTACTTGTGGAGAAGGAGTTGAAAAAAGAAAATTCATTTGTACAAAATTCAGTTCAAAGGATATTTTGGATAGCAGTTATTGCAGAGATCAGCCAATACCGAATGAGAGCCGAGTATGCTACAGACCCGAATGTGAGGTAAAAAAGATAGAATTTTGTTTCAGGATATATCAAAATTTTGATAAATGTTTATTGAAGGAATTGTATGTATTTTTTACATATTTGCAATGTGATTTTAAAACAGGTTTATTTGTATCATCAGGCATTAGTCTTTTATGTATAAGCATATAACAAGAGTTTTCGAAGTTGAAACTCAACTCAAAACTTAGCCACAATGAAATGGCACATATATTACTTTCCATTTCATTTTTTAGTTCGATTGCCTTCTATCAAAATAGATGCAGGTACTAATTTCAATTCACCGTTCAAATTCGATTTGGATATGCAATTTATAACAATGGGAAAAAGGGTAGGCCCTTTGATGTACGCCACCTGAAATGCTTTAAAATTTATTTTGAAAAGAAGTCTATTTCCCCGTTGTTATTTTCAGGAAAGAAGAATTAGAATAAAAGATGATTACAACAATATAATGTCTCCCGAATCCTATAATATGAAGTACAAATGGAAATGGGTTCCTGATAACTGGTCTGCTGTAAGTTATCTAAATATAAATCCTACTGTTAGTTATATGGGTATTTTTTTGGGAAATATTATTATCGATTATTGAGATATTTAATTTTGATAATTCTGGATTTCAACTCTGGAATAAAAACCATTGTTGGTAAGTAATAAAATACTTGATAGTTGGTGAAATATTAGTTGCGACTCAATGTCTTTACTGCCAACTAAAGTTTTCTGATTCGTTCATGAATTCAGAGCCGACATAGGGACAAGAATTCATTTCTCTCTTACACTATGAGACTGATTGAAACCAATCCTCCATTCATCATCTCATTCTCCATTTCGATCACCAAGTGATCATCTTCGAGAGGAAGAAAGGGGATCACTTGGTGATCGAAACATGTGTCGAGGTGTCCTCTTGAAGATGATAACTTGGTGACTGAAACACGAGTCGTGGTGTTAAAATAACGGTGTGGGTAAATAACTGGATACAACTCCAGTAATAGTGATCATGTTTCAAATAAGTTGTTACGGCTTATATGATTTTTTGCTACATCAATGTCATATATTTTCCAGTGTTCTCAATCTTGTGGAACAGGAGGTAGAAGCAAACAACTTTTTCGATGTATTGATGATATTGGAAATCAAAACGACCTAATGTGTGATACTAATCTTAGACCAAATAATGTGGTTCAGTGCAACAACATTCCCTGTCCAAAATGGATAACCGGGGGCTGGAGTCCTAGCTGTGACTCAAACTGCGAAAAATATCGTCAAGTTCGCTGTATTGGTCATTCAGGTGCGTATCTAAAAATTATTTTCATTTCATACCTTGCTCATGTTATGGTCAAAAAACTATTCAACAAATGGCTCTGAATGGAATGAGTTGCAATTAAAACAACAATGATGAACTACATGTATTATGGTACAATGAACAGGAAGAGATAATTTGTTAATTGTCCATGATGACAAACATGTACATATAAAAATAAATATAAAATTCACAAGAACAACATTGTATGAATGTTATAAAAAGAGTTTTTGCATATCAGTAAGAATTCAATACAAAACTAAGTACATATTAAATTATATATACCTTAATGAAAGTATTACCAAATATTCGTGATAATTTTTATATGTAATATATAAAAACTATTGGTATCCACATTTACTCTATTTGAAAGTAGAGTAAGCAGCAGTGGGTTAGCAATTTATTTTCTGAAATAATAGAGAATCCCTGGGGTTCCGCGGGGCTGCCATTGTGGTCATATCCTTTTCAATCTTTTTGATGTTGTGTTTTGATACATTGTGTACTCTAACTTCCAGTTGCTGAAGACTTACAGGTCTTCCAAGTATTTGATAAAGAAAGTGACTATCTTGAACTGCAGAGTGATATTAATTGATTCCTCAGTAAATATTTTTCAATGGACTGAATAAAATCGAATACACATTTTCCATCAACTCTCTAGATCTTAAATGTGGAAATAAAATCAATGATTTGGGAATCTAATAAAAAACTTTCTTGTTCAAAATTAGAGTATGCATCTTTTGTTTGAAACACATACTACATAAGTTTCTGTGTAGCTCTTCTTACAAAATGAACTTACATGTAGAGAACTATAATTATGACTACAAAGATTAAAAATCACATCACCTGTGCTTTCTAATCAATCTCTTATCAGAATCAAACGTTTTCACTGATGGATCACGAAATTATTAGAAAGAAACGGGAGATTCCTGATAATTCTGATATTCACAGTGTTCATTACATTGTACAGAAATATTGTAGCCACAAATAGAGAATATTTGAGCCAAAACAGTACATCAAAAGAAAGATATTTAAAATAAATACATACATATCAAATATTTGAATTACCTTCGTTTGCTTTATTAACTTTCATTCATTTTAGGTACAATATTGAATGATAATGATTGTGATGATTCCCTTAAACCCGAAAACAATACAAAATGTAAGCTCACAGAATGTCCTTATATTTCGAACACCGTAAATGGAAGATATTTCGATTCTTCAGAAACAGGGGACAAACGTTATAGATGGAAAGTAGGGCCATGGAAGAAGGTATATTTCAATAATTTGCCCGCCGATTCACCTTATTTGACAACTCTCACTTGGGTATTACTTGCTGTATCTAATGAGGGATGAACTTTTACTTTTAGAATATCTTATACATAAATCACTATAAATTGATGGATGTAGCCGTTACTACGTGGTAGGAGATCATCATGAAAAATGAGAAATGAAATTTCCTATGTTTTATACCACATGTATTTGTAATTAATGTTACTGTAGTTTCGTCATATAAGAACATTTTTAAACGTTAGTTACAAATAAAAATGGCAAAAATCATAAACAGTTTCATTTCTCATTTTTCAACATAAATTTCTAATGTACTTACAGAGTAATATCAGTTGAACAACACTTTTATCAAGAAACAGAAGAGAATTTCTCAAAAAGAAAAGTATTTGATTTAAAATAATGGGATCCTGTCATGATTCTTTTTCAACTCATTAGGAAGATCAAATCGTGTTTGAAGATTGTATCGTAGAGAGATACATCCGTACTTGAGAATAAATATTTCGAAATAAAATCACGAAATATTTATCTCCCCTAACTACTTACACCGCAGATTCTGATAAATACCTAACGGAAAACAACTACTAGCCCGGCTAATAACACACTGGATATTGAATTATATTCGACAGACAGTTTTATAAGATATCTCCCAGAGGTTAGTCTAGCAGATGTTTCTTGTTCATTCAGCAGCAAGACCTTGCTGAAATTATTCAAGTCGATCACCTACAGGCATTACCTCTCATCAGTGCAGGAAAGATCCGATCCAAACAGCAAAGTGCCTAGGACTCGACTAATTTCAACGCGTTTCAACTGCATGTACGAAACCTTCTTTAAAAGAAAGATTGTTAATTAATAACAGCTCCATCTCGTGAACATCTGCGACACTAACCTCTGGTGTCTTGCATAAATGTCTGTCGGATATAATTCAATATCCAGCGCGGTATTAGCCGGGGAAGTAGTTGTTTTCCGGCAGGCATTTACCAGGTAGTTGGGAGAGGTGAATATTTCGAAATTTTATTTCGAAATATTAATTTTTTAGTCATTAAGAAGAAAACTGAAATTTATCTAGGAACATTGTCCTCTTATTGCAATATAATATTCTAGTTATGAATTGTTTAGATTTCAAAATTATAGATTCACGACAGTAACATGTTTTCATTGCCAAAGTTACATAAAATACTTGTTTGAAAGTGACTGACAATGTTTCAGGATGAATTTCATTAGTTCGGACTTCCATTGTCTGATATACAAAATGATTTGAAATCCCTGAAAGAACTAATAAAAAAATAACAATCAAAAAAGAATATTTGAAAATAACAATTACGATGTTTCGATTGTTAGTATCCACAATCGGTTTCGGGTGATGACTGGACTAATTCCTCCGAGAGATGACTATTTATGGGTCATTCAAGTACTTTCATTTATCTCCGCTTTCCTTTTTCCGCTTCACCGGTTTAGTGGGAGATGACCGTTTGGCGGAAGTTGGCCACCAACGTTATCAACATGAGTTCCCGCCCGCTGCCGGGAATAGAGGAATCCTTGTTGAGGAAAGGCCTAAACTTCGCCATTGCGCCAACATCTGTGCCCACTTTCGAGATAATTACTGCAGTGGAATCCACCAGCTCATTTATTGACCAGACCTAGGCAGAAGAATTCAGATGGAAAATCAGAAAACAGCTGGATCGAGAACCAGTTTCAACATCTAACATCAGAAATGAAGAACGTAGAGCTCTGAACGGCCTACGTAGAGACAACACCATAAAGATCCTACCTACAGATAAAGGAAACGCTACTGTGGTGATGGATAGGTACTGCTCTCTACGAACAGGTTCTTCAGAAGAGACAATACACGAAAATCAAACTCCATCTATCGAAAGGAAGTTGAACCAGATTTTGAAAAAACACCAAGTCTATTTTCGGAAAAGGAGAGATCATCGCTAAAACCGCACCACAGTGAGCCCCCTCACTTGTATGTACTACCCAAAATCCACAAAAAAGACGTTCCACTCAGGCCGATAATCAGCTCTAGAGATTCGGCTAGTTTAGACTAGATTTTTTCTCCCCATAATACAACCATTACAAGAAAAATCATCGTCTTTTGTGAAGAATTCGAGGTATTTTGTCGAACTTTTAGAAGCAATTGAAGTCACACAGCTAGATCAACTAATCAGTTTCGACGTGGAAAGCCTTTACACCCACGTTCCGTTCGAAGAAGCTCTCCAAATCATATAGAGGATGCATCAGAAGTCGGGGACCTTGAAGATAAAACGAATTTACCTATAGAAGTAATTATGGAATCACTAGGATGCTGTGTACAAAACTGTTATTTCCAACTGAAAGAAGAATTTTTTACACAAGATGAGGAAATTCCAATGGGATCGCCACTTTCACCAGTCATAGCCAACATATATATGGAGTGGTTTGAAACTCTGGCCATTGAAGAATTCCACAAGAAATCTCGTGTGTGGTTGAGAAACGTTGACGACACCTTCATAATATGGAACCATGGGAATACTGAACTAGACGCCTTCCTGAAACACATTAACAGCGTGAGACCTTTCATCACTTTCACAATGGAGAAGGAAGTGCAAAACGAATTGCCATTCTTAGACGTATTGGTGAAGGGGATCGACACTAAGTGGAAACATCTGTATACCGAAAACCCACTCACACAGGACAGTATCTGAACCACGAATCCAACCACCATCAATCGAAATATAGAGGAATTATCAAGAATCTATTATACTTTGCTTTCGGGCTCTATAATACGAAGAAAGGTCTCGAGAAAGAATTAGACATCATCAAAAAAGATCTTTTACGGAATGGCTACTCCAAAGCGATGGTGGAACAGACTTTGGCTAAAAGATATCAGGGGCCTCGCAAGGAAGAGAAGCCATCACAACCACTGCTTGCAAATCGGAGGTTTATCGGAAACGATAAGAAGAATTGGGTCCAAGTACAACATCAGAACCTGCTTCAGATCCGGAAACACTATCCATAGCAGCCTCACGAAAACCAGGCCCCAAACGCGGACTGCGATTCCAAGAATTGCATTTACCGGAAACCATGTAAGTGCGAAAAATCCTATATCGGTGTAACTAAGAGGCCATTGAATGTTTCCATTGCCGAGCACAAGACACACACACACACACAGCGAGGGGAAACCAGCAAATCAGGAATAGCAGAGCATGTTTGTACCCATCAACATAACATCGAGTGGTCCCAAGCTGAGATCATACACAGTGAGGAACATTGGTTTAGGAGGAAATTCAAATAAGCCGCATACATGTTGTCCAACATATGGAAACCCATAATCCTAGCGAAAAATGGCCAACTCCCGCCAAACGGTCATCTCCCACTAAACCGGTGAAGCGGAAAAAGAAAAGCGGAGATAAGTGAAAGTACTCTAATGACCCATAAATAGTCATCTGTTGCAGGAAATAGTCCAGTCATCACTCTAAATTCTAAGACGACTGTGGATACTAACAATCGAAACGTCGTGACGTAACTTGGCTTGGAATATCTCAACTATTTATTTTTATTTTTAATTTTTGTTCAAATGTTCTATTTTTACTTGTATTTTATTTCACTGTTATTTCATTTCAGGTTTTTTGTCTAATATAATAGTTATTTTCAGGTATTATTTTTTTGTTAGTTCTTTCAGGGATTTCAAATCTTTTTATATAATATCAGATAATGGAAGTCTGAACTAATGAAATTACATAAAATACGTTAACAAAACACGCTAAAATATTCTAAACAACAGGCCATTATTATTACACCCAGAGGAACTGTCGAAATTCAGCCCCTACCCCTGACCTCATATAATTGAAAATATGTGGCATAATGGTTTCAGTTTTAGATTCAATTGAATATGCATAAATTAGGTGAATACGAATTTCGTTTTGAGGACTGAAAAACCTTTTTGACTTTTTACTTGTCCATTGGGTGATAAATAAAAAATGAAAATATTCTAAAAATAAAATTTTCTGTACCTCAACTTTCCCAGTAAATGCCAATAAATTGCTTATACACTAACTCTTACGCTTAGCCATACTCATACACTGCTCACACGCTTTTCTTTTATCGAAGTGTTCCAACTCTTGTGGCAAAGGTACACGCAGACGCCACATTGGGTGTGAGGACGCACTCAACGAAATTATGGTTGTTGATTCATTCTGCAGGAATTTGAAAAGACCAAAGCAAACAAAACCATGTGCAAAGTACGTCTGCAAGTATGCCTGGATAGATAGTTACTGGTCGGATGTAAGTTTTTTGACGACAATATATTTTCAAATTTTGCAAGTGCAGGCGGTTGGTTTCTACTTGAAATAATGGGGTTATGTGAATAACAATGTAATCAAGTTCATCATTTCAAATAATTGGTTTTCAATTAAAATTTAACATGTCATTGTGATTTAGATAATCTAAAATACTAACAACCTGATCACAGTCGCTATTCACTTATTTAATATTCTGTTTGGATTTGTTAACTATCTGGATGTGAAGATAAAAAGTAACTAAGAAAATGTAGAAAAAGCAGTTACTATGCGATAAGTCACAAATATTTCATGACTGACTAGTAATAGCTTTTTGATGACATTCCTCGTTTCTAAAATTGTACTTGACATGAACCTAACACATCACACGAAAACACCACAATTTACATGTTGCTTGTTAGCTAACCCAAAAAACCATTGTCAAAAATAGTTTTGACATGATTCTGAAGATGTTCTTTGTCTCTAGTGTTCAGCATCATGTGGTAATGGCCTGAAAACACGAAATGTCACCTGTCACAGAGTACATCATGGTGGGGTAATCGACCCCATTCCTCTACCTGATCTCTATCAAAATAAAATTCACCATCAGAACTATTGTTCCGTTTACAATAAGCCACCTGTTACTGCAAAATGCTTACTGAGCTATTGTGATGACCAATACATCTGGCAACCAGGACCTTGGAGAGGGGTAAGAATACAAATCAAACATAAACTTTATGTCAAGTCAAATAATAACAGCAACTGCGTTTGTTGTTCCTCATCCGCCTTCAAATAAATTGTTATTAACAACAAAAATATAAATCCGCCACACACTGAATATCTCTTCAAATTTCAGTGTTCTCATAAATGCGGAAAGAAGGGTAGACAGACTCGAGTTATAAGCTGTGTCAACGTCAGAACAAAGCAGAAAGTTCATCAAAACTTTTGCCGTAAGAATTTGAAACCTCGTAGAAAGCGTAAATGTAACCAATGGAGATGTAAGTAGATAATCCGGGATTTTGAATGTCTCTAAAATTAATTTGATCTTAAGGTCTTTACAAAAACTGCAAAGAACTGAAATACTATATGAAAACAAAGATCAATAAGGATTATGTGATATCTGTGAATGGACGACCTGTACAGATCTATTGCTATAAAATGGACACACCAGAACCACAGGAGTATATCACTTTACATTCTGATGGATCGAATTTTGCAGAAATTTATGACAAAAGGTTTGTGGTGAAAAATGTATTAGTTGCTAAGGAAAGGTTGGAATAATTCAAAGTGATAAAATGTTTGAATCTTTCAAGAAAAATGTCTTGATGACAAAAACTCTTTTGTATTCTGCAGATTGATAGACATAAGATCCTGCCCATATGATGGTCAAAGGAGAGATAATTGTCACTGTGATCAAATCGGTCCAAGATCTGGTTTCACAAAATTTTGGAAAGTTAGACTCAACATAACATCGATGCAAATAATAGGTATGTCTGACTTTTATACAACAATCTGAGATTTTCATTTCCACTTAATTTTTAGGGAGTGACTTTACATTTTCAAAACAACTGAAAGGTACACATATTCCGTTTGGAACAGCGGGGGATTGCTATAGCTCTATTAAAGGTTGTGCTCAAGGAAAATTTAGCATAGATTTGGCTTATACTTCATTTAAACTATCAAGCAAGGTTCGGTGGGAAACACTGGGGTCTTATGCCTCAACAGAAATACATAAAACGGTAAGTTTTCTTTTATCATCTACGCTCTATAATTATGTACATTTGTTGTTAAGGATATAAAATATTAGTTATGACAGTTGAAAGCAACTCTATAATGTAATACAAACCTAATACTCCTTATAGGTTGGGCAATTGTAAACGTATCATAAGACATAATTGCCTAGAAAGTATTTGTAAAAATTCAACAACAATGTCGAATTTGTTATTATAATTTATTATTGTAATTCTATTTTATAACTTATTAGTGATACTTCACTGACAAGATCTTTCAATTTTTTATCCATTGCTATTTTACTTTTGAAAATAGTGAACTCGTCACAGCAAAAAATTTGCAATGGGACTCTCCAAACCTGCCATTTTTTGATCATACCTCGTATTATTTGATTGTGAGAGTTATTGCACTTTCAGGAATAAATACATAAAATTTATGAGTACCCTTGAATGTTATGATCTGATAGAAGCATTTTGTTGAAAAAGTTTCTGATTCGATAAAGCTCTCTTGTGGCATCAGTAAAATTCATGCCAGAAATATTTCATGAAGGTGAGCAGCAGAGAGTATTTCATCTTCATAGAGAGACTGTAAAATTGGTTTTGTTACCAATCTTTTCACATTTCCACCAAGGGAATCGCAAGGTCCTTTGCCGTAAACTATGACAAAAAAGTTTCATTCAACTTCAGTCTTGAAATCTTAATTATTATTTATTTTTGTATTGGGTGGTACATATTATAATTTTATGTGGATGTTTCTATGAACAAGTTACTTTCAGTCACAGATAAGTGTAAAATTTGATTATAATTTACTTGTTTGGACCAAATTTAATCTTTTTTATTTTTAATTTTTTTACAATTCGTTTTGAACGTTTTTACTGAGAACCCATCACTTTCCTATTTTGAAACTTTGCATACTACTTGGCCTTAGAAAAAATTGATTAACTTGGAAATTTTAATTTTTTTTTTTGAAGATGTCTTTTTCTTAAAACCTCCTATGTGTTGAATATTAAATGAAAGGGTATTGTAAATAAATGTAAATCATAATATTTGAGTAATTACCAGCAGATCGATTTTAGGCGTTTTTCAAAAACTAGCTATAATTTATATATTTGTTAATCTACATAAATATACATCTTTACCAAGTTTCATCAAAATCTGAGATGAGTGAGGTTTGATATAGCTATATCAAATCAGCACACATATCATAACCTGATCATTCTGAAATGACCTGTCCTGAGAAGTTTGATATTGTAGCAAAATAGACTCTAGGGGGCTCAGGGGGAAGCAAATAGGTTCGGCTGTGACGTAGTCAGCAACAAAAACCAACGGAGGAAACGTTTTCACAATTTATTTTAGAGTGTGTAGGTACATCAACAAGAGACAACCCTGGAAGGAGATACAATAAATTACTTTCAAACCATGGTCCTGTAAAGTGTTCTTCCATCTTTGCGAAGTCATTTGTGTTCCTTGGTTACTCAAAATTCGCGACGGTTTACCCATCTGTACAAAATAGTACTTGGTTAGCCGATTCAACATGCTTGCTGTTGTAGCCCGTTTCAAACATTAAAGAGTCACCAGCTTAGAGAATACGTCTACAATAACAAAGACGAAAGTCACACCACCTCTGGATTTTGGGAGAGGACCGAAAAGGTCCACCGAAATAAGGTTATTTGGCTTTTCCGAAAATACCGCCTCTAAAGCGGGTCTAGGCAATACTGTTATCTTGGCTTTTTGGCATACTTCGCAGCCTTTTATAATACGTTTAACGTGAGCATGAAGGTTGGGTAACCAAACGTCTGCTTTCAAAGAGCACCAAGTTTTGTAAACTCCAAAATGACCATAATATTCGTGATAATAATTGACGAAGTCAGTTAGATTGGCCAAGGGAAGGCATAACAAATTACTTTCCTGATTCTGGATAAATAACAGTCCCTCTCGAAGAAAGAAATGGCCCGGAGAGTCCTTTTGGATCGCCTCCAGCTTGGCAGACAACAGGGAATCATTACGTTGGGCTTCGCTCATATCGTTCATCAAAAAATCGAATTTTTTAGAAGCCTTACACATGGCCAGTACTCGGAACATCCATCTTGAGGCGAAGGTGGCCTAAGTGGGGGGTGCCGAGACAAGACATCAAGTACAAAGTTTTCCTTTCCAGGAATATACTTGACTACAAATGAAAATTCTTGCAGTGCAAGTACCCAACGCGTGATGCGCGGCTTTAAGAGGCGACAGGAGTTCAGATAGGAAAGCGCTTTATGATCCGAATAAATTACGAAGTCACGGTCCAATAAATAGACACGCCACCTTTGTAAAACAAATAATATCCCTAGAAGCTCTTTTTCTGGTATCGAGTACCTGCGTTCTCTGTCTTATAACAAACGACTCGCGTAAGCCACAGTACGTTTTTTTCCCTTAACGATTTGAAATAATACGGCCGCGACCGCCACGTCACTGGCATCGCTCTGGATGTGAAAGCAATACTACGCGACAGATTAACTTCTTCAATTTGTTAAACGAATTTTTTCAACCTGTTGCCACTCCCATTTATTTTTTTTTTGCAAAAGGGACGTGAGGGGTTCGGACACCATGGAAAAATCCTCACAAAAAGCACGGTTGTAGTTGCAAAGACCCAAGAAAGCTTGTAATTGTTTTACGTTTTGGGGTTCAGGAAAATCTTTGATGGTTTGGACTCGTGTCGGGTCTGGCCTTATACCGGTTGCATTGATTAAATACCCAAGAAAAATTCATTTCTTTTTTGAAGAAACAACATTTTTTCAGTTTGACCGTGAAACCAGCTTCTCGAAGTCGATAAAAAAGGGCATCTAAGTGACGAATATGTTCTTCGAAAGAGCTGGATGTAACCAATAAATCGTCCAGGTATACATGAACGAAAGACTTGAAAAATGGGCCGAAAACCTTATCCATACACCTTGTAAAACTGGCTACAGCTGTTTTCAAACTATAAGGCAAAACTTTGAAAACATAGCTTTTCGTGCCAAAACGGAAACCCGTATAGCGGCGATGCTATGGTTTTATAAGTACCTGCCAATATGCGCAAGTTAAATCTATACTAGACAAAAATTGGACGTTATTGATGTTTTTCAAAATGTCTTCGATTTTCCGAGGCACCTCTAAGTCGTTTTCCATCACACTGTTCAAGTGACGCGCATCTAAACACAAACGCACCGTGCCACCATTTTTGACAGCTGTCATCAACGGGCTCGCGTAGGAGATAGAGCGCCTCTCAATTATTCCCCACTCCTCCATTTTATCTATTTCCGCTTGTACGGCCGATAGCGTGGCTCAAAGTGCTGAGGCGGACGTGTTACATAATCTGCCTGGCGCAATCATGCGATTGCGTCCTGTAAGGATTACGTACCTATCAAAGCCGACGCTATCTGAGGTGGAAATTGTCTTCCAATCACTGAAATAAGCATCTGCTCTGGATAAGGTGGTTATAAATATTTCTCTTGAGAAAAAGTGACAAAAAATAATCTATGTATGACCCATTTTTCTGGCAATAGCGGCTTGTTTCTAAGTGCATACGCAACTGTACTTGTTGTGAAGGACCCCAAAAATGATCGAGAAAGGCTTTCTTTAAATCGGAAAAATTATCAAACGAATCTAACAAAGCATCTGCCCAAATTCGGCTCTGTTTTTGAAACAAATTATTACACCAAAAGGGAATTTGTACAGGAGGTACGTTCAAATTTACAACAGCTTGTTCTAGTTTATTGATAAACATAACTGGATGTATTCTTTCCGTATCAAAAATTGGCAAAATATCTGTTGTGCTTGTTGAAATAAAATTTGCATACCCTGCTGGGGCATGTGGCTGAAGGCACGATAACGACTGTTGAGGTAGATTGGCTCCTGCTAGGTTTTCATTGTTAACATAATTATTTTGCCCATTTAAATTTCTACAAGCACTTACAGAGGCAAAATTTACATGATTTCAATATTCATTATTCAACCTAGAATTATCTGTATTATTAACATTAAAGTTAGTGGAAAAAACTGGTTGTAGCAAATTATATAGCGACTGGGGCCCAGGTACAACCCTATTAGACAAAAACGTAGGTGATACAGAAGCACAATTAGGAAGCATGTCAAGCGAACTAAAATTTACAGGCAGAGGTGCAGAAAAAATGCCCGCATTGTTATTGGACAAGGCCGAAGGCAAGCTGTTTCTCCTACTCCCAACTTCGTTGAACAGTGCTTTTCTTGTTTGCGGCTCCATAAAGCTATTACGTAAAGTACTCATACCTGGTGTTCCTCGAATGTCCAACCTATCTTTCGTTGTTTCCACTTGGTCAGCTGAATCTAAGGCAGTCATCGAAATATTAGTCACAATTTCACCTTGTCCGGCTTGAACCGAAGCATTCCTTGCTGGGACGGAAGGAATAGGAGTGGGCCCCTCGTGATATCAATTTCGATTCTGTGATTTGCTTCGTATATCATATTGGGCGTTTGGCGTTTGTTGCAATGGCATTGTCGCGGACTCCAGCTCCACGTTGTGTGCCAAGATGTAGCAAAATAGACTCTAGGGGGCCCAGGGGGGAAGCAAATAGGTTCGGCTGTGACGTAGTCAGCAACAAAAACCAACGGAGGAAACGTTTTCACAATTTATTTTAGAGTGTGTAGGTACATCAACAAGAGACAACCCTGGAAGGAGATACAAATTTAGCAGTAGCCAGCCACCAAACAAGCAGCCAAACTATTAATAATTATCTATTACATACCTGCAGGTAAAGAGTAGCAAATATCTAGGTTTGTTATCACCAGAAAGAACGGGTGTCACATTGAGTCTACCGACAACTTCAAATGCCAGAAATGTCTCCCAAATACCCACGAATGCTACTCTCTCGCAGCTGCGCTATGAACAACTACCTCGATAAGGCCAGCAGTGCTGTGCCTCAACCAAAGGTACCGGTACCCAAGGCATATTGTCACAATATTGAATCTCGAAGAAAATGAAGAATGATTTTAATGAACTCAAGGGTTTGACCCTCTCTTCAAATCAAAAATAATGTCAAGCATTTTCTGGTAAAGAATACCTTCTATAATTTCAAAGATATTTTCAACTGTTTCTTTCATGGGTAAATTTTAGTATGATTTTAATATGATAAGTGTTATTATTGACCGCAAAAATTTCAGTTTATTCAAAATTACAGCATTGAACCAAGGAGGTAGACTGGTGATTTTGGAATTAATTACCATTAACCATTATTGTCTAACTACCAGTCTACTTTTTTATTGTAATGTTATTGATAATTCAAATTGAATTCAAAAAGAGTTCTCACTAATGACAATTTTTTTTCATTCTAGGAAACCTCAGCATCTGGTAAATGCGGAGGATACTGTGGAAACTGTATGCCCGATCCAAATGTAGGTTTGGCTGTAGAAATAACTTAAAATTTCACCGACCTAAATCTGTGTTCAAAGAGGCATGAGATAAATAATCGAGTTGAAAACATTGAAGGGTTGTAAACTGAGAAACTTTGTTGGGCTTCAAATTCGTGATTTCGAAAAAAGGAGAACTTGTAGAAAACATCAAGTTTCTCAAGAATTACAATTTGAAATATTCAATGAATTAACTTCCGCACCGCATAAGCTTTGATGTCACACTTCTACAATTAACTACTACTCTCTACCCCTAGTAGAGGTGCTAATGTTATCATCCTTTTCTTTGTTTGATCACTGCTGAATAAGTGGAACTTACAGGTACTTCATGACAAGTATTTATATATACCTAAAAAATCCACGTTGGTTAGATTTTCAATTCTTACCCAATAATAATCCATGACATTGGGTTGTCTTCAAAAATAAATGAATCTCAAATTTCAAATTATTTGATTCAGGATCTTCAATAATACATCAATAAGTATTGCATCCTTGATAACCAATGGCAAAGTTTAGAAATTTAGTACAATAAATTGTTTATATTTCATTTAGCAATTACAAAACTTTGAAAAAATATCTCACAGACTTTGAGAGAATTCAACCTGATATATCCATTATGGAAAATAATTTCTAATATGTCCGACACCTCCTGTCACATCATTCTCAAGTTTAAGTTGAAAGGAAGATTACATAAAGCCCCTTCATCCTCATTTGCTACAAATGGCATTTCCTTGAACTCTCGTAGTTTTTTTTATAACAAATACTTGAGAGATATCAAGCAAGAAGACTTCAATTGTATTATAAGATAAAACTGCCCAGTATTTTAGTATTAAACTTTTGCATAAAGTACTTCTTAAGTAGATTTAAAAGAACTGCCATACCACCAAATTGTGGAAATTTTATTTTACATGTGATTGCTAATCTTTATACTTAGATAATGAGTTTGTTTATGTCCTGCCAAATAGTCTGCCGACTTATTATTACTAATGTTTGTACTAGAAAAAATATGGACAGAGAAAATATGTTGATATAATTACAAATTTCAAGTCGTTTAAACAAAATTGTGATCTAGTGGGCACAAAATTGAACTGCCAGCAATAACAAAAAATGGCCATCTGAAAATACAACACAATAATTTTCTCATGAAAAATTGGAAAAGAATTTCATCATAAATCAACTGTTGTTTATGTGAAATGTAGTAAAATTTTAAAAAATGTTGATAAAATTCTGATGAATGTGAGAAACATTAAATGAATAAAACTTTTCGGCTGTTTATGGTTGCGATCATAAACTTTCTCAGAGTACAATTAGCTTACTCTGAACCTTTAAATGTACCATAGTATTATAAAACTCATAATCATATCAAAGTCATAATCAAAAGAATCAAAGCTTTCAAAAAGAGTGAAGTTATTGATATATTACTATGTACGAAAATTTTACGTGAATGTTTGGGCTTACTGAAGAAAATACAGTATCCTATGGTCCATAAGTTAGAAAAATACCAACTACATAAAAATGACAATTGACACCTTAATTTGATGTTTATGTACAAAACTGTTTTGAACAGTCACTTCAAATTTTGAATGGTAATGTGTTTACTCGTATAATCAACAGGCCATACTTTGCATCATCAGCAGGAGTAAATTTATGAATGCAACCTATGTCTATTTACTACAATCACATAAAAGTTGAATGAATATGATCAGTTTGACAGTAGTAACTTGAACTTCAACCTTCATAAACACTCGTTTCTGTAACTGTTTTGAAATACATCAAGGATTCACGAGAAAATTTTTGTTTTGTTAACTCATGTTTTCGATGAGTAATTTACAAAAAAGAATACTTATAATGGCCAAAAATTTTTGAAATTGCGAACTCATTTCTACTTACCTCATATTGAGGTGTTCTACATAGGTTATGTTTACTTTCTAAATGTACATTTTCAGTTCAAGTCGGAACAATTTTCAATCAAATGTGTGTGTATGTATTTCTTAGTTTAATAGCTTCAAATATTTTAAGACAAATATTACTGCCAATACATTTTTGTCTCGGCATGGTTGACCATTCAAGTGAGTCCAAGTGAACTAGTCCTAGAAACCGCACCGGATTTTGTATCATTATCCGTTTATTTATTTATGCTACTGCCAGTGTTGTATATATGTACTTGTATTTATTTTCTGTGTATATTTTCACTTTGCGGCCTCTGTTTACATGTCCTGTTTTTGTAATAATTTTAAAGTTTTCCTCAAGACTGTTAAAATACTCAAGAATGTTATAACTGAAAAGAGTTCAATAAATATTAACCAATGTGTAATATTTCTTGAAACATATATCATGAATGTGGTAATATGCCGCTAAAAATCATTTTTCGAAAAATGGTAATTCTTCAACTTCTCTATATTTCACTAGACTTAGTTGATCAAATAAATGTTTGCCACTATTTTGATCTTTGATTCACAACCCAATATCCTAGTACTATATGCAAGTTTTTTTTGTGTGCCCTATATTAATTTCATTCACTGCAAACTTTTCGGCGATTGATTATCGCCTTCCTCGGGGCTACAAGTAGTGGCATCAGTTTCTTTAATAAATATGGATTTTTTCATAAAAAGTCATAAAAGGTTTTGCATTTGAAATAATATAGTGTATAGTTAAAGCCGTATGTCTGTTCAATGATAAAGGATTGTTTTCTCACTAAAAACAGTTGATATGTTTCTACCTAAGAGTGGGTATGTGTGGTATCAAGATATTCCTATAAATTCCGTTCAAAAGTCTATTTGACAAAATCTCTTCGCTGTCTATAATTTTTTTTAAAGTAGTTGTTTTCTGATAGGCGTCAGTCCATTCAACCTACTGTGTAGGTATATTCGAGACTGGCTTGAACGTTTAAAGTTCATTTCTTTAGATTTCTTTCTAATTATACCTAAATACATATATCATATCACAATCCATACAGAGTTTCCAATAAACTACGTTAGTGAGTTTCGTTGTTGATATCTTACCTTTCAATTTGTAATATATGTAATTGTGTTAACTAGTTTAGTTAAAAAATCTGTTTCTGTTAACCAGCTGTCGCACCCCTATGAACGACAACGCTCAGAAGTCGAAACTTGTGCGAGTTAAGAACTAACGAGGTCTTACCTTTTAACATGTGATTTCTAACACAGCTTGGACGATAGCAAGTGAAAATCGATCGTTCAGCCTGGGGCTTGAATCAGAACCGATCGGCTACCGACCAATAGTTTTTCTGAAGAAAGGTTAGGTGGGTAACAGGATAAAATTTTTCTTAAAAAACAATTGTTTTCTTGCCGACGTTTCAAATTTAATCAAATTCGTGTTGCATTTTAATTTCCTTATTTGTGGAACTTTTTGTAACTGAGTTTGAAGATTTTAGTTTGATAGTGTTTCATGATATTTATCTTTTGTTGATGAGTCGACTTGAAGTTGATACACCTTTCTGTTTTCTATAATCACAAAAAGTTTTTCTGACAACATATATTGATATAAATGCTTAGAATTCAATCTATTTTGTAGCCCTGAGGAAGGCGATAATCAATCTCGGAAACATTAGCAAATAAAATTGTGAACACTGAGTAGTATTTTTTATGTCCAACCGCTCATGAAATTTAAAGTCACAACACATAGGGACGTGAAAATTTTATTGTATCGTTTGTAATATTTTATTGGTAGCATAGATAAACTTTGATTGAATTTTTTCAATGTTGTCTGTTGGATTTTGAAATAGGAGTTGAATATCATGGATGGATATAACATAAAATAATTTTTATAGTAACTTTTTTATTGGAATTGTATTGACAAACTTGTCAAGATTCAACAGACATGACCCTTGATATTGGGTTCAATGACTGCCCAAAAATAATAGGTAACCAATTATTTAGTACCATAATTATTACGGAAAGTTGAATGTTATCACATTTTGTCCTAAAAAAAACAGAAATTTCAGAAAACTGTTATTTTCAAGCAGGATATTGCACCTTTCCATAACTGTATGTTAATCATGAAAGATTTGAAAAAAAAATTAACTGATACAAAAGATACTATTAGATTAGTATTTCTCAAAGTGGGCGATAACGCCCCCTTGAGGGCGCTGGAAGCCTATAGGGGGGCAGTGGTTTAGGGGGGCGATGAAGTGGTTTAGGGGGGCGATGGCTGATTTAATTTTTTTTTTGCTTTTAACACACTTTATCGCTTCTTTACGCTTAACGCGCGTTTCCTCGTGTAACGCCATCTAGGGGACTATACAGCAACTATTTCCTGTTCGATTGTTGTCAAACTGTACAATAGATGGCATTAAGCTTCAATGCGAAACGAGAAGTTTCTAGTCTTCATTCTCGAAAGTACTAGGCCCGCCTGCTGCCTCATAGAAAAGCTCGCGCGCCATCCAGCTAGTAATGTCATTCGACGATATTACGAAAACAAGTGAATTTAGTTAGCGACTAGTTAGGTAAAGTGCTGTACGTGCGGTGGTGAATACTCTGAGTGGTGTCATTGGCAACTTTATAATACTCGATTCTTTACTTTGGCATTTTTGAAGACAAAATTATGTCGAAAGCAAAAAAGAAGAAACGGCAGTATAGCGCGCAATATATAAAATATGGATTTATTGAAAATCCCACAAATCCATCTTCGCCTATGTGCCTTCTTTGTCAAAAAACATTTTCGAATGAAGCGGTGAAACCTTCAAGGCTACAAGATCATTTGAATAAAATGCATTCAGATAAAAAAATACAAAAGTGTGACTTATTTTCACAACTGGCAAAGAAACACTCAGCTCAGCCAACTGTGTCAAAACTTTTTTTAGCGGCTTCTAAGCAAAACGACGACGGACTCCGAGCTTCCTACAATACCTCCTTACTAATTGCTCAAACAGGTAAATCTCACACTATTGGAGAGGATTTAATTTTACCGGCAATAAAAGAAGTAACAACTACTGTGCTCCATAAACCAGCGGCAGATATTATCCGAAAAATTCCTTTAAGCAATAGTTCCGTACAAAGACAAATTGATGAGATGGCTGAAAACATTGAAGAATAATTGTGCCATCATCTGAAGACTTCTAAATTCTCAATTCAGTTAGATGAGTTCACTTTACTAACCAATGAAGCATTGTTGTTGTCATACATGAGGTTTATTGAAAATGAGAAAATATATCGAAAACTACTATTTGCAGGAAATTTAGAGACGTATACAAAAGGAGAAACCATATATAATACACTGGAAAAATTTTATGATGAGAAAGAAACTCCACCGAAGAATATTATATCAGCTGCTACGGATGGCGCTCCGGCTATGACAGGACGTCACAAAGGCGTCTTAGCGTACTTAAAAAATAAAATTCCAGATGTGGTCGCTGTACATTGCGTCATTCACAGGAAACATTTGTGATTCTTAAGATGTAGTAAAATAAAAAAAATTGGGGGGCGTTAGAAAATAATTAATTCTCACATAAATCGAATTGTAGAAAATGTTGAATAGCTTTCTAGATCAAAAAAATTGTTTCGATGTTAACACAATAAAATTATTATTTTTAACTTTCCTTACAATCATTTTTGTGAAAGAAAATTAAAAGAAAATTTTACCTCTTCAACTTCACTCTTCCAATGCTCTTTTGGTCTCGTATTCCATACCAGGAGCATTATTTCCCAGTACGCTTTTAATCATTTCAACACTTGTATCCCACAGAGCTTGGGCCAATTGATCATCTCTTGCTGCTGCACTTTCTTGACACTGATAACAGTTGTTGAAATAGACACCTGAAATAAATATGGATATTTGAAGCTCGAGATTTATAATATCATTTAGGGAACATTGGAAAAAAATTACATTTATTCTGAACATTGCAGAAAATACAATTCAGGATATTTTCCATGAGAAACTGAGGACACAAATAATAATTGATTCTTTTATTTATTTTTTTTTATCCTGGAAATTTTTATTAAGGCAAATATAAAGGTCGACTATTCATAACTTCTAGTTAATTTCATTGACTTTGTTTAGTAATCCAGTACTGGAAAATGCACTACTTCCTAGAACATCCTGGAATCTGAATTTTCAACACAGGATAATTGTTGCCACAAGAAACCGTCGATAGAAACATTCTAATACTGATTGTTTCATTTATATATTGTATTATTTTTTCAGATAATTGTAAGTCACCTCTTTAAAATGACTAGTCAATTTAGAAGACTGACTGGTAAATTTTATTGCTTTTTTAGTGATCACTTTAACTGAGATTATTTTACTCATGAGTTACATGAAATATTTCGTGGTATGTTTAAGCAAATATTTGATCAGAAAATTCTCAAATACTAATAAATTCAAAATAACTAGTATTCTATTATACTAAAATTCCATAATAGTAGGCACTGAATTCTCAGAAATATTATTGCATTAAAACAAAAACATTGTTGTCAGGTTGAGATTCTACATATTTTATCATCTTCTATTTGAGATTTAAGCCATACACACAGAGCTAAATGGTAATACAATAACGGACAACATGTTTTATTCATTAAAGAAACTTCCTGCTAATGAAATGTATTCAACAGTATCAATGTTTATTAAATGCATATAAAAAATTCAAATTATATTCTGCGACCAAAATTTATAAATGACAACGTTGCGTACACAGTGGTGGGGAAAAAAGACCGGCAGATTGAATTTGCCATAAGAAAAAATATGAATATATGAATATCGGCCCATCAGCTGAGCGTGGTTAGTTTAACATTCATGAGTGTAACATTCATTAAATAATAACTAGAATAAATATTAATTTTTTTTTGACTGTTATTATAATTTATTTAATAAAGATTTAGGTATGTTTCAAAAGTGATCAGTTTTGGAATTTCTGTTATAAAAACTCTAAAATTGGAAAAACCTTTTTCAATAATATAATAAATGATATTTTCGTATAATACCTACCCTAGATAAACATAAAAGAGAAATAATACACTTTCTGTAGATTTAATCCATTCCTAAGAAGTTATAATGTAGTCAATGTCACAATATTAGGTACCTACATTTGTAAAAAAAGGTTAACGGTGAATAAAAATAATTTTTATAAGGGATAACAACCAAGGAATTTGTTAAGGACTGAAACAAGGAAAATGTCAATATAAAACAGTTTCATTTTGTGCTGTGACGTCAGAAATGACGTCACAATCATTTCTGAGAATTCAGTGACTACAATTTTGGAATTATATTATAGTTCATCACAATCTGTTTCTGGTACTTAGTAAGCTATGTATTGATAGCCCTGTCATCACTTTCAAGACCATAGGTACCCTCACAATTGATATAACGACAATTTTTTGAAAGATTTTTCCTCCATTTTTTAAAAATATTTTTTTATGGAACAATGTGAACAAAATCAGTTTCAGTGAAAAATGTTACACGTTGAATTAGAAATGACCTCAAAGATCTCTTACCTGTCACACCAACCAACTCTAAAGCTGTGGCACAATATACAGTTGTACTTGCAGCCTGTTGTAAACTTTTTGTAAATGGCCTTACAATAGCAAATAAAACTCTATACAACCACCAGTTTCTACCCAATTTTGAAGAGACCATATTTCCCGGGTGTAAACTAAACACTGATATACCATCAGACTTCAAGATTTTTGCCAACTGTCTTGCAAACAGAACGTTGCATAACTTGGAATTGTTATAGGCCATCATGTCCCAGTATTTGCTACTGGATTCAGGCGAAAGTGTCAAAGGAGATATATTTTCTATGGTTAAATTAGCAAATCTGAAATGTAAAATGAATAGTTAGATACTTCTTCGGGGTTGCTCATTATTGATAATATATTTTTTATTACAATTTAACCATACAGAAACAAATAGTTTGTCTTACAAAGGTCAGCTCTAAACATGATAACTGAATAAAATATAAAATTGAAAATTTCTAAATTATTTTGGTACTGCTAGATTTTAAAGAACTATCACTGAAAATAGAAAAATACCATAGCTAGATATTGACAGAAAGATGATTCAATAGGTCTAATTTTTTTTATCCAACACTATAACAACTGAAAAACGGCATAAATCGTTTATCCATTCAACTAGTGAGGTGAAAGTAATAATCTTCATTTGTTGTGACCATAAGCAGCTCTCAGAAATCATTTCAGTACAAGTTGTATGCTTGAAGATGTAAATTAGACTCTTCTCTCAGAACAAAATTTTTAGGGGTAAAAATAAGTTATTTTAACTCAACCAATAATCAATATGCTGATGAAGTTACAATCAGTATAATAATAGTGAGACTGGGTACCTTAGGTGATTGTATAAGAGGGAATCTTAGAGGAAACATATAATTATCAGTAAGTAGAATAAAAGTTGGAATGTAATGAAATATGATAAAGTAAAATAAAAAGTTAAATAAAATTCCCCTTCAACCAATAGGTAAATAAGTTCCCAAATCATTTTTTTAAATAGAAAAAGCATTTTGATACAATGAATACTCTATTAATTTCATAAAATTATGGGAAAATTATGAAATGGCAACACACAATTATGTAGAACCAAAAATTAGACAAAAACCAAAGAAAAACTATGGCATAGGTAAAGGAGATGAAAATTTTCACAGAAAAACTAAAAACAAAAAATCTCACTATTAGTCACCCCCAACGTCCCAAATAACACATTTTAATAAAATATATTTCAGTTCCTCAATAATGAGTTAAAGGCACAGAATTTAAGTGAAAGACGATAGAATGTTCGAACCCCTTGACAAAACAATCATTGCTCATTGTTCCATACTTGGCAGTCATCAACATCATTGCCTGTGATTTCTGAGAGTCTAGGTCTAAGCTATAGATACAATCTATTTCGATCCGTCAGTTTCTTCGGTTCTTCATTGATAGACCAGAATCAATATCAATTTTGAGTTCATCAATGCCCTGTGAGCAGCCTGGCTGTCTGTTAGAATTTCTAAACGCTCATTTCCAAAATAGCAATCTGATTAATTACAAGACTGTTGCCTTCATCTTTGAAACATTAAACACAACATAACATTAAACATAACATTAAAATAACATAAAGAAAATTCATCAATGAAATTTAGGAAAAGTACCTGTGGGATTCAGAAGAAAGAACAACAACTCTTGATCCAGGGCCTAACAGAGGCTTCAGCAAAATAGTTAAATAAAAGTGAGACAGATGATTTACTTGAAATGTAGTTTCAAATCCATCTGGTGTTTTGCTATAAGGAAGTCCAAAAACTCCAGCATTCAGAATCAACATATCAATTCCATCATATTTGCTTTTAACCGTATTTGCAAATTGGACCTAAAATGTACAACAATAATATGATTTTACTTAAAATTATACCACTTGTAACCTACCACTGATGAAAGAGAAGTTAGATCCAAGTGAATTGCAATACAATTATCACCTGCACCAGGTTTCTCTTCCTTGATCTGATTGATGGCTTCTTCTGCAGCTGAAAGATTTCGACAGGCCAATATAACCATGCAACCATGTTTAGCCAAAGACCTTGTGGTCTCAAAACCTATACCAGCATTTGCCCCTGTTATCAAAGCAATTTTACCATTCAAGTCCCTCCCATGAAGAACCTTCAATAAAAATAAAATTGAATAGTATTTAACATAAGATATGAATCAAATCAGTTTAAAATTTTCAAAATATAGAATTTACTGAAGCACTCTTGAACAAATTTGATAAACGTATCAATAGAAGACAAATACTTCCAAATAATTCAAAACTGGCCTAAACGTTTTCTATGTATAAGAAAAGTGACCACTATGGCTCGAACAATGAGTGTTGTCTAGTCAAAGTGAAATAAATTAAATATCAAGAAGCAATTAGTATTTTTTTATTTTAAATTAATATCAACTTCAACAAGTTCGAAAAGTATGATGGAAATAGTCCATGACCATGTTTTATGGAAATATAAGCCAAATAACTGAATAAACAATAATCAAGTTTGGTTTATTATACAAGGGCCAAGTCAAAAATTCAGTTTATCAAAAGTGGCGATAACCATATGAATCTGTTGAAATCTCAAATAAACTGAGGATTAACTTAGATGAATAAATTGCAACAAAAAAGTGATGTTCAAATTTTTTCGTACTATCTATAATGCTGTTAGATTTTCAACCTGAATTGCAATGAACAAATTTTGCAGGACTTATTTCAGAAAATACTGAGTGTAGCTCTTATAGAAAATCTGGAAGTGAAACAGATTAAATTGGAAATATGTAATGCCACCAATTAAATCATTGTAGACAACAAACCTCTTCTACAAGTATTCAAATGATGTTTTCCTCATCTTCTGAAAACGCCAACTTGCTTAGAGAAACGTGCAGCGAAAAAAGTATTGTATTTATGGTAACTGGGAAAACTGCTTGTTTTTGGATTCATTCTATGCCAGAGGTTCCAGTTTTACCTTTATTTCAATGACTATTCTACTTCATAAGAACACTCCTCTATTCCAAATATACAAAATAAAAACAATGCCACCACTTCTATGTGCCAATGTTTCAAATGCAGTATGCAGTCATTCCACTTGTGCCAGGTAACTTACTTGAAGTGCAGTACTAGAAGCATCAAACCTTTGTCGGAAATCATTGACGTGTTCCTTTTCTTCCACTGCAAAAGCTAACCTAGGATCTGTATAAGTAGTCCGCCTGTTTTCATGGTCCACATAAATCACCTTCCCAGTATTTTTATCAATACATCTCTCCCATCCAAAGGGAAGGTCTCCTGATACCTAATAAAATTAACATGTTTCAAAGATGTGAATCTTTTACATAATTTACTGCTGAATCATTTTGTTCTTGGGTCAAAGAAAAATGTTTACAGGTTAAAAAATGCATGTTCCAATTTTGACACTCCAGTTAGCAATAGAAGAATTTCATTATATTACAAGAATAATTTATTTTGTATGAAATACGTTTTTTACTTTATACCATACCCTTTTCTTCTTTCCAGTTCTTGGATGTGTCCATTGAGTATTCTTGGTAAGATGATTAGCATAAAAAACACTACCATCCACTGTAACCCTTTCTTCCCAACCTGGAGGTAATTCGTCCTCACTATCAGAATCAGGTAGATTCATATTTTCTAGGAATATCCGAATTTCAGAACTCAACTAGAATAACAACTGAGGATTTCTCCTTATTCAAATGGTGTTTGGCGCAAAAACTACATTAATGTTATTAATTATTTTACATTCACTTTCATCACTGTCACTGTCTCAGGTGTCAGTTATGTTTATTAGGTGACCAACGAACATTCATTATTGATCCTTGATTTGTTAGATCAGCTGTTTTGGATGCGTTAACATAGACATAAGACTATGGACCAAGCATTCGGTCAAAAGTATTCACTCCAAAGACTGAAAAAGGATAGGAACTAAGTAAGGTTGTTTTATTTGTTGCATATACTCGTAAACATTCCGCTTATAATTATAAAAATTTTCAATTCGGGAAAAATAGAAAGACTGGGATATTTCTGTGACTTTAATCCTTTATAATAAAAAAATGGTCTTTTTACATATTTACAACATGTATAATCAATATTTAAAAGAATAACAAAAATTGTCTTAAAATTACTCATGAAGAATAGGGGGAGATTCAGCTTAATCTGTTTCTCGACTCAAACTTAAAAAAAACACACAAGTATGCATGCATACAACTATATCTATAAATATAACGGAAAAAATTATTGAGGAATAAACATTTTGTGATAAGCAAATTTGTGGTTATTCAATCCTGAAAAATTAAAATGTGCCTAATGATAGAAAATAGAGAAAACAAAGACAAAGCTATCATCAGCTAAAGTAATCAATTATTATTCTTAAGTAGCAATTTCAAACGTTTGAAGTTTCCAAATTATACAATTTGAATTCTCGGGGTAATTTATTGTATTTCTTCACTTCACATGAGAAACTACGGGTAAATACGATTATTCAAGTATTCCAGATAAAATAAATATAATTCTGTTTCTTGTTCTCAAATTTTGTAAATGTGATAAAGTCATAATTTTGTTGAGAAGATTTTTTCTTGACTAGCAATGGTCATTCGTTAGTAAATGTAAGAGACAAACCTATATTTCCCAAACACAGCTAGGCCGATTTCTTCCTCTTCGAGCTGATTTAGTCGTATTAACAGATTTTATAACTCAAGTTAAGATATGAATTTTGGATCTTCTGCAATCTATTTGCAGCTTGAAATAAAGTAGGGCCGTAAGGCTAACACAGTAGGCCGATTTGGAGAATATTAACGCCTCACATAGTGTCATCTTCAGATTAGTTGTTAATAAAGCTGAGTCTTTTCTTGAGTAGCAATTTACGGATCATAGTTATCAAATGTAAGAGACGTACCTATATTTCCCAAACACAGCTAGCCCGATTTCTTAATCTTCGAGCTGATTTAGTCATATTTACAGATTTCATAACTCAAGTTTTATATGGATAATCTTAAACTTTATGCATCTGGAGAGAAGGATCTCTATCAGTCCTTGAAGAGTTCAAGGTATGAAATTCGGAATAGATAAATGTGCAATGGTCCATCTTAAAAAAGGAAGATGCGGGGACTACGGAGAGGATGTGCAGCTCGTACTTGGAAGCATCCTACACTATTTGGATGCCGGAGAGACGTATACTTACCTCGGGGTGGAACAACGCCACTCACAAAAGGTAACGGCAGTGAAGAACTCTCTCCGCGGCAAGTAAAAGCACAAACTTCGACAGATTTGGTCATCGGAACTGTAGGGGAAGAACAAAGTTGCTGCAACAAATATGCTTGCCGTTCCAATCTTACTCTACTCGTTTGGAGTAATGAAATGGACTCGGGAGGAGCTGTATCAACTCGACGTAAAGACCCGAAAAATGATGCATCTCTATAGGAGTTTGCATCCCAAATCATCCGTTCCATGGTTGTCTTTTCTCTCACAACAGGGATGCCGTGGACCTTTGAGTTTGGAGTGTCTACATGACAGAATGCCTGTAAAGTCGTCAGGAGTTCGGATTCCATTCTCTGCACGGTCCGCGACCATGAGAGATCAGGAATTGTAGCATTTTTCTTTAGGGCAGCTGCCCGAGTAGCTGATGAACTCGGTTTAGTATTCGACACTGCGGAAATAACACAAGGATAAGCCAATGAATGGGGTGTCCTTCAATAACATTGAAGACCTTAGCTCATCAAAGCGCCTGACTTTCGCTTTCCTCAGGTATAGTGGGCTGGAGTCGGAAACTGAGGGGTTCATCATGGCTTGCCAGGATGGTGTCTTCAACACCTTAGTCTACCGCAGTCGCGTGATGAGTATAGAGGTTCCGGGCACAAGGTGCAGGGTTTGCCGCGAGGCGTCCGAGACCCTAATGCACTTGCTATTAGCATGTCCAGCATATGCGGTCTCGGCCTATATCCATCGACATAACGCGGCCCTAAGAGTGCTGTATTACCATCTACGGCACTCTTACGGTATTGATGAGACACCGGTGTTGCCCTACACTCCGGGGAATATTGAATCCCTTGTGCGGAACGAGAAGTGCCGAATTTATTGGAACTATTCGTTCCCCACCCTCAGGCTCATACAAGCTAATAAGCCTGATGTAGTACTTTTCGACCACCAGAACAAGGCGATATTTGTCATGGAGTGTTCAGCTCCTGGCGAGACGAATATCGTCCGAAAATAGAAGTAAAGACGAATACAATATCGAGATTTTCTCTTCGAACTTCGCAGACTCTATCCAGTCCAATCTGTCAAGATGGTTGTTCTCAATATTGGAGTCTGTGGTGGAATGATGCCCTTTCTACTCTCGAATATTAAAATCATCGCACTAAGGCAGAAATCTTAGCCGTACAGATGCAGAGGACTGTCATTCTTGGCTCACTGCGCTTGCTCAGTCATCACTTACCACACGGTGTGGGGACGACGCTATAGTGTTGATTTGCCAGATGCCAGCCTTTTCTGTTAGAACACTATGAACCTCCGCATCTAAACAAGCCAGCTTTTGAGGCTTCAGGGGCCTAATTCTGAGGAGCCCCCTGTGTGTTCTGATTGTCTCCATTGGTGGCATGATGTGAGTCTTCTCTCCAGCCGTGCCAACGGGTGATAGAACTGTCACTTCTACCACTTCTTTAGCAGGCTGGGAAGGAGCTATACAGCCCTGCCGCCGAAGATAGGATACGTAATCCCTAAGATTTTGGGCAGAAAAGGCGGTATGCTCCGGGTGTATTTCACACCACAGAGCATGCAATCTCGCCATGTACCCTCTTCGCGCGGGCTCACTACTCTCGTAGCAATGCATAATGCTATCTCTTAGTTCATGTGTCCACTCGAAGCGTCCGTTTTCATTGCCAGATTTGTCATCGGTAGGCAAATCATCGTTATAGGCCCCACCACTATGCCTCTGACCCCTCCAAACGGTCGATCACTAGGAACCAAGTGTTGGGTTCCCCGGGAGCAACAAATTATTTGAGTTGAAAACCAGCCACTCTGAATAACCTTTGATTTTCAGGAAAAATAAAACATCACCTCAAAAATAGTATACAGGGGGACACATTTTCACATATACATACTTGATCTAACTTTCCCTATCGCACCCCCAGAACATCTCATCATTTTTTTTAATGGATCAATTGTTTTGCATCATCATCAGATGTTCTATGATGAACATATTTCAACAAAGTAGAATAAATTATGGTCTGAAGCTCATAGTTTGAAGCTAAAAATAATTTGAGTTGAAAACGAGCCACCCTGAATGAACTTATGTACAATCTGTTAGGTATATAGGTTTCATAGGTGTTTTTGTGAAGTATACTTCAAAAAAGGCTTATTTTGTCTAGTTAAGTTTGAATTCGATATTCTCTTCATTTTGTATTTGTCTTATTCTACAATAACGATGATACCTACCAGGTGAAGTTACAATTGGTGTTTCAGTTTTTGTGAATTATTGAGAAACAATGGTTTATACGCTTCGAGAAAGGATTGAAATAGTGAATTTGTACTATCAGAATGGAAATAGTGCTAGAGCTCCTGCCCGTATGTTCAATGATAATCATTCAGGAAAAAATGTACGACACAAATACGTTTCGGAATTATTGAAAACATTTATGGAAACTGGATCTGTTAACAATAAAAAGCATTACCGTTAAGGAGTTGTCATCGATGAAGCTATTTGTACTGTAGTTTTAGGGCACGTTGGACTGATGGAAAATTCGCAATCTCTTACCTACTAAGTTATCTCGAGAATCAGGAATCAGGAAATTTCATCCATATAAGATTAGACTAGTTCATGAATTGAACGAAGATGGTGTCGATAGACTTATCGAGTTTTTTGTGATCCTAATGCAAGTTATTGATCCATTCAGTTTCACTGAATGGATCAACTTGCATTAGAATTTCTTGTATAAAATTTGTTTTTCGGATGAATGTAGGTACGTTTAGTTTGAATGGAGAGGTGAATCAGCAAAATTGTCGATATTGGAGTGATACGAATCCTCATTTATACCGTCAAGTTCATACCCAATGACCTCAAAAACTTAATGTTTGGGCAGGAATAATAGGACCTTTTTTTATCGATGATAATTTGACTAGTGATAAATATTCAGATATGTTGGAGAATCGAATGAAAACGTGCATAAATTGAGGGCAATTGAGGAGGATATACATTTATTCGAAAAGGAAATAGTTTTTCAGCAGGATGGTGCACCTCCTCATTGTGCAGCTCCAGTGCGACAATTTTTGGATGATCATTTTCCTGGTCGCTGGCAGAATGGCCACCAAGGTCTCCGGATCTCACTTCTGTAGATTTCTTTTTATGGAGTCATTTGAATTATAAAGTATATAAGATATTTTTTGGGAAAAAAAGTTTTTGGCTTTCTACTACTCCATCTTGATACAAAAAATGTGGGAATCTTCCAAAGAAAGGAAGGAATTAATCAATTTTAAAATAAGTAACTATATACATGGATGTGTAGATCATGCAAAGAAGTAACTTTCAGACACAAACTGGAAGAAAAACCCCTCCTGAAACAGCTTCTTTCATATAAACATTGGATTACATGAAAGAAAAATTCTTTCCAAACAAATACTTTTATATGAACACTGAATTATACAGAAGACACTATTCTCTACTCAGTGGAGTAGATGATCCTATAAGTATTGAAGCGAAAAAATCGCAGNAAACATTCAAAAGCTGATCAGTACTGAGTGTGGATGAAAGTTGCCGTATAACATAATAACCACAGTTCACTTTCTGACCTGACTCACAACTGACTACCAAGTCATGTTACTATCAACATAGGTACCAAGGAATTTAGTATTGTCTGACGAAATCACATCACAACTACTACTCGAAAATTGGTAATTTTCCTGACAGTTCTAGAGTAGAACTGCATTAAAATAGTCTTACTGGGGTTTACAACTGAGGAGTTTTTGCGGCACCAATCTGTAAATGCGAGAGACAGCTCGTTGAGTTTAACATTGATGAAAAGTAGGAACAGCAGAGGTCCCAAAATCGATTCCTGAGGGACTCCATATTCATTACTGTATGATTGTGATGGGCAGTCATCATATTTCACGCACATCTTTCTGAGAGTCAAATACGACTCCAGCCATGAAAGTACATTTCCTTTAAATCCTAGCGAGAATAACTTACTCAGAATTATATCATGACTGATTATATCAAATACCTTGGATATGTCGAAAAAAAGAGCACCCATCTAAACACCTTGCACAATACCGTGGGTACTGTTACGAGTCGGTAGTATTCCATGATGCTGGGGTCTCCATTTTTCAAAATTGGTGAGAGGAGACCAATTTTTAGTTTATAAGGGAATTCGCCGAGTTCGACAGAGCGATTAATTAAAAAAGCTAATGGTTCGCTAATATATAAATAAATGCTTTTCAAGATTTTCGTAGAGATGCAATCAATTCCTACTGAGTTAGTATTTTGTTAAAATAAAATGAATTCACAAATATCGCTTGAGTGAACAGGGGAAAAATAGAAGGTTTGACTCACAAACATTGTTGTATAGCTACTGAAAGACGTGGAACCAAAGTGTTTAGATATGGTTTTTTTCAACTATCGTTGAAAAATATATGCCAAAGTTGTTAGCGATAATATTTTTATCGCAGACAAGTGTATCATCTATCAGTAACTCGCGAGTTATTATTCTCTTACCTTTCCCTGTTTTATCTCTCTCCATGCTCCATATTTGTTTCTGTTTTTCGTGGAGGTTATTATTTTCATGACGACCCTGATAAAATCAATACTTGGTCTCATGTAGTATTTTTCTGTATGCTTTTTTAAATTCATTTAATGTTTCCTTAGGTTTGAATCGTTGAATTTTTTTGTTAACCGAAGGAGATCACGCAAGTTATCTCCCGTATGAATAATTTCGTTCGTAACCCCTGGCTTTCCTTCACAACTGTTTTGATCGAGATTAACGGTTCTTTTAATTAATGGACATGTCAAACTTATCCAATATAGGTAATAGTAAATTCAGAAAAGTCGCAAAAGCACAGTGAATATTATAAGAGTTATCATAGACAGATTGAAAGTTTTCATTATTCAACATGGTTTGAAGTCGACAAAGATTTTCGAGGTTTTTATTCATGTAACTCATATGTTTATATCTATTATCACTAGGATGTGGGACAGTTGTCATATCAAAGCACAAACATAAATGATCTGCTAGATTTGCATGTAAAGCTCTTTCCGAATACAATGTTTGGGGCATATTTGTTAAAAAGTAATCAATTTTTGAAATACTGGTTTTTCCGTCTGAATAAGTGAAAACTCTTGTCGGTTCAATATTTTCACAAGCCAGATTGAAACTTTGGAGCAAGTCACTGAGCAAAGTTTTGTTTTTTGACTCACATAAATAATCAACATTCAGATCGCCACGGACAATAATATTATCGAAATGTTTATCACAATAATCTACAGCACTGAATAGCTTGTCAGAAAAAACGTCCATATTTCCATTTGGCGGTCTATAAGTATATGAGAAGCAAACAAAGTGTTTTGTTATTTATAACAAAGGAGATAGCACAAGTTTCGTAGTCCATTTCGACAGAAGAGTGTCCTAGTATTGACACATTTTTGTGAACAAATTCGTTTTTTACCAAAATAACAACGCCTCCATGTGTATTATCGTGTCTTATGAAGTGTGTGGCAAAATTATATCCATCGAATTGAATAGTGTCTACACTCGAACTATTACCACGTTTCAGATACGCAGAGAATGTTCGGTTTTCGCTCTATTAAAATAACCTCAATTTGGTGCGTTTTATTAGTGATGCATTGGGAGTTAACGTGAATTATTCTTAGCCTTTTTGAACTCATTATTTTGCCAATTTTAGAAAAATTCTTCTGGTTGTTGACCTCGAAAGGATTTCCGAAACTGAAATCGTCAGCCGTATATTGTTTAGAAAAATGTCCATTGATATTTTCCGATACCGGAGAGGGAGCCTGAATATCAGCTACCAAGCCCAAGGCAGCAGGCGCGCAAAGGAGGGTTACAAATAATGCAGCAGGAGCGCGTGTTAATAAAAAATTTTTTTTTCAAATGAAGAAATACATACATAAAGTGAGTTCGAATTATATCAAGGAGCAATAATGTCGATATATCAAGGAGGTTACGTACAGCGCCATCTGCCCACGAATTGATTAAGCAATAATGTCGATAATGATGTCAAATACAGATCCCGAGCTTGATAGTTACAAACAAACATACATACATACAGGTGAAGCTAATAAAAGCGTGTTAAAAATGATTCCTCAATATTATTTACGAATAAGTGGTAGAAAAAAATTTGCATCAAAGATGCAATGTTTCCAAAATGAATTTTCAATAATCTAATAAACGACGCCTTTGTTTATAACAATTTTTCAAACGATAGCAGATAAAAAAATTGAAATAATTTTCGTGTATCTTCTTATCGTAAAAAACGGATCAGAAGTGATATAAAAAATACTTTTAATGATTAATGAAGCTTTTGAATTTTGAACATGATTGTATAAATGTTTTCAAATTGAAAATTACCAAGTAAATTAACTAATACATAACTAACTGGAAAATAACGATAAAAATTTGTTGACCGCGGATTATTATTCATTCGTTCATCCAGTAGGTATGTTCCTGAATTTTTTCAATTCCTAATTTTCATATTTAATAAAGTGAAATAACATTTTTTTCATTGAAGGTGCAAAGTTGGCTTGTTTTACGCAAGCCAGAGTACCCGTTTGGGTTTCAACCCACTGGAAAAATTATAAATATTGCTCCTATGGTTCCGGAAGGTGGGACTTTTTTGGAGAAATTTCCTCCTCTTTTTGAATTTGATGGCAGTAATGACGGAAATCGTATGAAGCCGTTCATCTCAGTCAGAAATTTTTTCAAGCCAATGGAAATGAGAGGCAACGTTTGATGAATATGAAAAAATAAGGTGGGTGAATAATAAAAAATGTATCATTATGATATCGTCAATTAGTTATCTCAAAAAAAAAGTTGAAATATTAAAAAGTAGGTACTTCGCAAAATCTTATTTTGTTGTGTAACTTTTTGAAATCCAAGAAATAATTGATAAAAGCGCAAATACCAAATTAACTGGGTATTTCAGTATTCCGAAAAGTAATTTTGTAAAATTAAACATTTTTTGAAACATTTTCCGCCTCCTAAAAGTATTTCACTAACAAAAAAACAAGATGGATGTGAGTGATGAACGATGATCTGTAAATAAATCAGACACAAAGTTCAAAATACACACCGAGTATCCGGGTAGGTGTCACGTTTTTCTAGGCGCCAATAATTTTCTCGAGAATCAATGAAAGATAGGACCTCCGACTGTCAGACGAAGATTCCCGATCGTATTAAATATATTATTCGGTGACTCCTCGTTAGGTTAGTGGAATACGCGCCTCGTTTTAGTCGATAATGTTACATAGCACGGGGTCCGAGACTATTATGTAATGGTAAACTGAAGCGAATATCATAGTCTCTAGCATTTGAGATAGAAAAGTAACCACCAAAAACAATGTGATTTTTTGTGATGAAAAATTATATATTGTCACACGCGGGAATTTTTAAATTTGTGAATTGAACATTCTTCGCTGGCTTTTCAAAACCGTGTTTTGGATTAGTATAGACTATTCAGAAACAAAAATTACTACTTCAAATTCGAAAACATAAATTAAAGTTAGCATTTTTCATTCTGTATAGACGATATTCAAAGAAATTTCTAAAAATGGTGCGGTTGGTTATAAGCCTGTAACAATTAACTGTTTTATCCGATGGTAGGAGGGGAATTTGGAAAAATTGGAGTGTTTTGAAAACATGGGAAAAAAGGCAAGGAAAACTAGGTGGCGGACATTACCAATTGCTGGTGAGTCTTGAAGAATTCGGTTTATTCTATTTCCAACTTTCCCGGTATTTATATCTGCAATGAAAATTATGATTTGAAGAAAATGCATTTTAACCAATTTCTCTGTGCAAAATATCTACTTCATTCACTCTTTTATTTTTTTGTGATAAACCAAGTGATAAATATAAAAAAATGGAAAACGTGCTGGGTGTGTCTTGGAAAAACTACCCCATTATAATTACGTAATAGTGGAAAAAAGTTGAAGGACAGTTTAATGAATTCTTCTTTTAATAACATTATTCATCATTCAGACATGATCTGATATTGATTTTCAAACCTAATGTTACGGTTGAAGGTGAGATAAAAGAGATTGGAGATTACTGTTATATAAAATTATATTGAGTCAACATTGTATATTTCTGATTGATCTGTACCAACCAGTTTCTATTGATGATTAATTTTCAATGTATTACAATACCTGAAGTACAGATGGAAACGAAAGTCTTTGATCACCGGTCAATGTATGTGTTTCTAATCGTAAAACTCAGTCAAGGGTGTTTGAGTCGGGGTTGAGTACAAAATATCAAAACTCGGTTCTAAAATATCACTTGGTAGGTATAATACTCCACAAAGGTCAATGTCATTTCGATAAAAAATAGATTTTCAAAAGTCACGCGAAATGACTTATGTAACAAATGAAAACACATAATTTGGTTGACTCTCAAAGTATCTAAGTAGTTCTAGTTTTAATACCAATCCATTTATCAACATTTTTTTCAATTTCGTGATTCATAAAAAAGTTGAATATAATCTCACAGTACTACCATATATGTTTTTATACGAGGGCCATTCACAATTTAAGCGCTTTATAAAAATAGGTACTCATTTAAGTCTTCAAATGTACTTGATCTTTTTCCAAGTAGGGAGTACTTAGAAAAAGAGGGTACATGGTTTTTGAACACTTTTTCTGTCAAATTGAAAGGGATATTTTTTACTTTTGGGTAAATTGCTATCAAGTTCAAAATAAACTCTTCACATGCAAGTTTGTATCTGAAAGACACTTCTATTCATTGTCAGCACATCTTTGTATAGAGTTCATTTTCCCTTCAAATGCTTTCTTCCTTTCTATCCATGATAATAATTATATAATCTTCACAATAAATTTTATTCAAAACGCATTTCGCTACACTGGTAACTGACAAGTAACTGATGAATTTATTGTGAAAAATGTTTATTATCATGGATCATGGAGTATTCATACCTATATGTTTCTTACTTGTTTTGAAAGTTTTCTACAATTTTTTGTATAAAGATGTAGAAGTGAAGGCCAAAAAGCTATTTTACTTTACCTTTTTAAAACCCCAACTTTCTGGGGACTCAAAGCTCTGTTATCCACTTGCTTGAATCGAAAGATTCGAGAAATGTAGAAATTTGAACAACAATTCGTTTCGATTATATAGCTCTACAAAATTCGACCAACATATGGTACCAGAAAACAGAATATACTAATCCGATGTTGAGATTGTTGAGATTTTTGTATCGATAACTGATTTCAATAGTCTTTCTTGTCTTGTAAATATTTGGGATTGAGAATGCGACTTGAGAATTTCATGGAATTGGAGTTTGTTGTTTGGGGTGTATGGTGTTTTATGGGTTTTGGATTTGAATAGCCCTGAATATATGAGAAAGAGCGCGGCCTAATTCGGAAGCGAAAAAAGGACAATAAGTGCGATAATTGCAAGGTATATTGTGTTATCAATTTTTAATTTCTTAACGATAATATATGCATTCAAGAATTCAAAATTGAAGATGATTCCTCAAGAATCCGATAGGGTGATTGACAGACCTACTACATAATATTTTCATGGAAATATTTTGATCATTGAAATGGATATCCAACATTGCTGAGAATTAAAAAAAACTCAATTTAGCATAATATTTATAGTAAAAATTTGAAATACTCAAGCAACTTTGTCCCTCTGCAACTGTTCTCTTACCAACGTATTCAAATAACACTTCATTATGAGATTTTATGAAAGCGTGTCTTTACACGCCCGAAGAAGCCATTGTATGGCGAAACACGTGTTGCGTTATTGTATAATCGTTTAGTGAAAATCTCACATTAATAATTTTTGAATATGTTAGTTATGGATTTTGATCAAGTATCGGCCAATTCCGTCATATATGATCTCTTACCATTCGAAAAATGTACATTCCAATACTCTAAATTGAATTTCCCGCAATATACAATGAAGTACTATTTTTAAATTCGTGATATTTATTATAGTTCCAACAAGTAATTCATAAAAATACGATGGAAAGCAGACGATAAATTTTCAATAATTATGATCAAAAGGAAATATTTTGTTCAAATGTAAATACTTCATCAGTTTTATGTACGAATAAAACTACTTCATCAGAAAAACATCTGATGAAAAAGTCACTTTCGGTAGGTAAAATCAACTCATAGACTCCTGATAATAGCTACCCATAGAACTCTTTCATACGGAGAGCTTCACGTCTTTCCCTCCTATACGGGAGCGTTTATCACTCCTACTACCGCCCGTTCACACCGTGAGCCTTTTCAGTTCCTGGCTCCTTGAGACTCAAGGCTTGAGGTCAGTTGTAAAATGGATCACACGCGAGATGTTGCCATATACCTTCTCTACAGTCGACACAATCTCGTCGACAGAAACGTCAACTATCAAGAATAGGACGGATAAAGTTGCGAAATCTACGTTGAGCACTTTGCAGACTTCCACCTAACTTTTTACGACTTCATTTTGGTCCTTATAAATGTCGACACTTTCATCCCATAGAACGGGTCGGTTTCACATAGCACTAATTAACAACTCCATCGTAATCTGCCATGATAAATTAGTGTGAAGCGTCAACTAAGGAGAGCTGTTTTCACTCCTCGTGTGGAAGCCCCCACTCATCCTTTTGAATTTTTAGGAGACATGACTCCCCGGCTCGAGGTGCAGGAGACGGGAGAGCTCTCGTCTCCCGAGACGTGGCGGCTCCCGCTCTTCTTCTGAAAGCTATATTGGATTCGTTGCATTTTGGCGCTAAAAGCCTTCCTCTCTCTCTCGGGAGCGAGAGACGTGAAGCTCCCCGTATGAAAGGGCGCATATAGTACCCGTGTTAAGGACAGGCTTCACCAGTCGAGACTGACCCGTCAGGTTTTGCCTATCAAGGGCCAACATGTACGGGTGACCACATACACGTCAGAAAATGCAAAGTCGTTGATTCTTTCCGTGGCAGACTAATATTTTGTGTAAAAGTTGTAAGATGGTCGAATAATTACGTACATTGGCGTGGCCATGCACTTTCATTGTGTTGAAAGTATTCATGTTAAACTGCCCGCATGAAGAACAAAAAAAAGCATGCTATGTGTTAGGTTAGGTCTAAAGTGAGTGGGATCTTCCACCGCAACCCGCAAGGGTTTATTGTGGCTCACACATATTCACACTCGACCAAATAAACCCAGCTTTTGAACGAAGCCGATTAGTTTGTATGGTGAGTGGTCGTTCAGGTCAGATGCTAAGAGTACGGCTCTGCCAAACTATGTAAACCTGATTCGGTCCCCAGCGGGGCAGGCACAAAGTATATGCTCTGCTGTTTCATCATTTTCCAAACAGAGGCGACACACACTATGTTCCTGTTAGACAGCGTAGTTCATCCCTACTGTAGTCCAACAACTGTTTGGTATCAAGCTTCGAAGGGTGAATAAACGCCTTGGAGTGAGCCACTCCTGGAAGATTCTGCCAGAAGTCCATAACTCTTCTTGCCATAGATCTCCATGGCCGCTGACGGTGTGGTACTGATGGTACCACTGATAGCCAGACAAGCCTGTATGCTAAGTGTAGTAAGTTAACTCATATTAAAACTTTGAATTCTGTTTTTCAGAAACTTATAATTGCTGTCGGGATAGATTTTTCATCAGTTCATCTTTTATTTTTATTTACATATTCTTCAGAACTCATCTTCGAAGAATGTTATTCCTTTTCCCTGTTTTGTCTTTTTACAAAAGAGAAAACATGGCAAAGTAGCTCCGAGCTGTTCGTCGACGGCATATGGGAGTGGATTGATTACTGCGATTTTGTTAAATAAAATAAGGATACAATAAGAGCGCCACTGTCTTTTTTTATAAGGTCTTATCTGGAAAAGATCAGAAACCTAAGGTAGAGACTAGATACAACGGCTGAAATAAAAGAAAGACATACCCAATTTCATATTATTTAATGAGATAAATATTAAGTCGTACTTACTGGAGTTTTTTCCCAACACCAAATCGTTATTTTTAACACCTCGACACGTGTTTCGATCACCAAGTGATCATCTTCAAAGAGGAAGATTAAAAAAGTCATCATTACCTAACAGATTTTCAGGCAGAGGCATTCCACCACATCGAAAACTTTTCATTAATACTGGCAACATATGAGTAGCTATTATTTAAATGTCATCAGTAAAATGAAATTTTCAAATGTAATGAATCGACATGTTTGACACTCCACAATAGACGTGCCAGATAAAAATATACTATACTAGTAAATAAAAATAACTAATCCGGTACTTATCTTCAAGGGGATAAATATATTGAATGTCAAGAATATATTATTGATTGATTAAAGAAAAGGTCCAAAGTCAATGAGTCTATTCGATCCTTCATTGAAACCCGCAAAGGGCCATTCATCACAGTGTGTTTATTCAACTGACAAATCGACGAAAAAAAAGTAACTATTGTATACTAGGAAAACAATTGTGATAAAAACTGTAGATATTTCGTATATCAGTGAGAAAGAAGTAGCACTTCAACTGATTTTTTATAATCGTCTCATTTCCCTTATCTTTCTTGTTACTGAACTGATATCAACCCGAAGGGAGATTGAAACCGGAGATGTGTTTGAAGAGTTTCTTACTTTTCGTGTTTCATAGATTAAAAGTAATTGTCAATGTTTGAAGAAAGATAAAACAAGTAAACATACCTCAATATAGTTTCTACCTTGGGAAAGTGTGAA